CCAGCACTTTCAAAGCAGAAAACTAGTGTGGCTAACTCTAGTTGTATCACCTTAGTTTTGCAACTGTACATGAGATAGTCCCAGTCAACATGCTACATCGTAACTTGTAGCATTAGCCAGAAAAGCCTTATTCATTATTCATTCTGACCCATCCATTTATGTTTTTTGTTTCTTACTAATGATAACCAAAAACTATTTACCTTATATTTAGGGAAAAAATTTGAATTCTATGTAAATAATGTCACTGATTATAAAGTATCAATAAAAACTCATTTTAAAAAAGTGAATTCAATCTATCATATTTGAGTTATAGCTATTATATTTTTTAATTCTTTTCAGGGAAATGAATGACCTATTTATCATGGCCAATACATTCATGTGGCCCAGACTGCTTTTTTGCCAAACATATCTAAAGGAAATAATAGAATCTTTTGGAGCTTGTGCTTTCTTACTTATAAAATAATACATTATTAATTAGAATGCCAAATACCAGCAGGTCAAAGAATGAAAGGGAAAAGAAGATAAGTAAATGAAACAAAAAAGGTATGAAGTTCAAATAAGCAAGCTGAAGAAATCTGGTAGAATTTCAAAAGCTACAGGAAATGTGCGGAAATGATGATTTTCAGTGTTGAGACTTCAAATCGCATTGAAGGAGAAAACACATCAGTAGAAGAAAACAGACTTTGGTTCTATACAAGTGAAAATACCTGGCAAAGGAAAGCATTATTTTCTGCATACAATTCTTATTGTAGGCATGCTGTAGCCACCATCTATTCTAACTACAGGAGAAAAATACAAATAAGGAAATAATATATTTCTTCATGACGTATATTTACATATTGATGATACCAGAGTATCCTGCCACCCATAGGCAGAAGCTGAGGAATTTATTGGTTTTTTTTGTGCGTGTATTTTTATTTTTTTCTTATTTTTTATTGATTATGCCATTACAGTTGTTCTATTCCCCCCTTCATTCCCCTCCACCCTACCCCCCCGTCCCCACCATTACCCCCCCTTTAGTTTATGACCATGTGTCTCAAGTCCTTTAGATTCTACATTTCCCATACGATTCTTGCCCTCTCCCTATTTTCTATCTACTGTCTATGCTACTTATTTTCTGTACCTTCTCCTCCTCCCACTCTTCTATTGCTAACCCTCCTTGAGATCTTCATTTCTATGTTTCTGCTCCTGATCTAGCTGTCCTTTTAGTTTGCTTTCGTTTTAGGTGTGGTTGTTAATAACTGTGAGTTTGCTGTCCTTTCACTGTTCATGTTTTTTTAACTTCTTTTTCTTAGATAATGTCCCTTTAACATTTCATATAATAAGGGCTTGGTGATGATGAACTCCTTGAATTTGATCTTATCTGAGAAGCACTTTATCTGTCCTTCCATTCTAAATGAAAGTTTTGTTGGATAGAGCAATCTTGGTTGTAGGTCTTTGGTTCTCATGACTTGGAATACCTCTTTCCAGCCCCTTCTTGCCTGTAAGGTCTCTTTTGAGAAATCCACTGACAGTCTGATAGGAACTCCTTTGTAGGTGACTGTCCCCTTAGCTCTTGCTGCTTCTGGAATTCTCTCCTTCATTTTAATTTTGGCTAATGTAATGATGATGTGCCTTGGTGTGTTTCTTCTTGGGTCCAACTTCTTTGGGACTCTCTGAGCTTCCTGGATTTCCTGGAAGTCTATTTCCTTTGCCAGATTGGGGAGATTCTCCTTTATTATTTGTTCAAGTAAGTTTTTCACTGGTGGCTGTTCCTTTCCCCCTTCTGGTACCCCTATAATTCAGATGTTGGAGCGTTTAAGGATGTCCTGGAGGTTCCTAAGACTCTCCTCATTTTTTTGAATTCTTGCTTCTTCACTCTTTTCTGTTTGGCCATTATTTGCTTTCTTCTGGTCCACTCCATTGATTTGAGTCCCAGTTTCCCTTTCATCGCTATTGGTTTCCTGTGCAATTCCATTCATTTCAATTAGTTTCGCCTTCATATGCTTGTCTAATTTGTGGCTATAATCAACCAGTTCTGTGAGGATCCTGATCACCAGTGTTTTAAACTGTGTGTCTGAGAGTTTTGCTATTTCTTCATCACTTAGATTTATAGGCTCTGGGGCTTTGAGATCTTCTTGAGCCATTTTTGGTTTGTTCTCGCTTGTTAAGTATGAGGAGCGGCGCCTTGGACTCCCAGGTCGCTGGGTTGTGACGTTATATATGGGGGGGTGGTCAGAGCGGGGAAATGGCGACCTCCTCTGCTGTTTCTCGCTGCTGGGTGAGGAGCAGAGCCTTAGGTGGTTCACCAGGGCAGGGCCACTCTGGTCGCTGGGTTATGACGCTGTATGTGGAGGCGGGGTCAGAGCGGGGGAAATGGCGGCACCCTCTGCTGCCACTCGCAGTGGGGCCTGCTCAGTCCAGTAGTCTCACCGCCCACACCCTTGCTTGTCTATCTGCGCAGGAAAGCACGAGCACAGTCAACCCGCAGCCCTGCTCCCTGGCTGTTTCCCCGTGGTCACTTGCTGAGTCGCTTACCAGGTCCAACCCTGCGCCTGGGTTCCGCGCGCCCGAGTCCTTCTGACCGAGTTTTTCTGTGCAACCCTGCTCCGACAGCTGCTGGTTTCACCCCTTACCGGTCAGGCTGAAGAATTTGTTGTTATCAGACTTCCGAAAAGTTCAATTTTCTGTGTTCTGGCTGTGTTTTCTGTTGCTAATATTTAGTTGTCTCTAAACTTGGTTGTGAGAGAAGGCACAGCGTCTCCACCTATGCGGAAGTCGAATTTATTGTTAACAAAGGTTATTTATTGTGTTCATTAAAAAGCCAGCCTTTATAAAGCCTGAAGTTAATAATTCAAAAAAATCTTTAAGACTTACGTTTTACAATTTTTAAAGTGTTTTGTGACTTGTGGTATTGCATCATCTTAGCTAGTGTATGTGACAGTATGAAGCATTGAAAGCACAGATTTAAGGTATTTTCAAGTCCAAATAAAGGAACCAGATGCCCATTTATGACCACATAGCAACTTCTGGCCTGCACTATGCACAAGCTTATATGTGCCCTTTATGGTATGACAGATACAGAAAGGTCTACATTCACTTCCCCCAAACTGTCTCTTTACTTAAATAGCACTCTTTCCAGTCACTCCTTCCAATTAAAGCTCTGGTCAATTGGAACCAAGCTTAAGACAACCAAGATAAGACAGGCAGAGACCATGTCTCAATGAGCTTACTTGTAGTGTTAGTGGAGGGCCAAGAGAAAAGACTGATAAATGACTACATTGTAAAGTATGAAGGAAGAGATCTTTACCAGTGAGGGCTTTTTTTTTTAAAAATAAGATTTTATTTATTTATTTTTAGAGAGAGGGGAAAGGAAGGAGAGAGGGAGAGAAACATCAATGTATGGTTGCCTCTCGAGTGACCCCTAGTGGGGACCTGGCCTGCAACCCAGGCATGTGCCTTAGCCTGGGAATGGAACCCGAGACCCTTTGGTTCGTAGACCTGCACTCAACTAACTAGCTACACCAGCCAGGGCCCAATGAGGGTTTTTAAAAACTTTTCCAAACAGCTGAAGTTCACTTCTTTTCTGAGCAATTCTGGTCATATCAGAAGCAGGACTTCTCTAGATACTTTGCCCAGAAGAAGCCCTTTATCTTCTAAGGTATCATTCTCTACAAGTGTTCAGAGAAGCACAGCCATGGAGCTCAGATCACTGTTCTTTTTCTGGCAAACACTCGAACTAAGGAAAAGACTATTGAGATTCTGACCAACCACCTCCACATGTGGTAACCAGGGCCATTTTATCCTGAAGAACGTCCTAAACATATCATGGCAGTGAGGCCCAGTTCTTGCACTGCCTTTCTCACCACTGGTCTTGCCTTTTCATAGCCTCCTTCTGCATCTTTCTCACCTTCTAAGTCTTTTCCTTTAATACTTTTATTTTTCCAATTTCCTTTTCATTGCTTAAGTGTGAAATATGGTTGCTACAAAGTGTCAAGAAAAAGAAAATAGATTACATCAACACAGTAAATTGACTTGTTTTACACTAAGCTAATTGTTCACTGAAAAAAAAATTGAAGAAACTTAACTTTGACCAACAAAATTAGCCTAGGGTCCGAATGTGGAGTTTTTATAAAGCCTTTTCTTTATGTAGTCAACCAGCCTATCTCAACACTACCTTTAACAATATGCTATATAAAACACTGAATATACTGCAAGAGGTATATAAAATAAATTTGAAAGGAACTTTTCTATTTTAAATATTCTATGTAAGAGTTACAAATAACTAGAATTCCTTCACTCTTGAAAACCAACAGGTCAGTCTTTTTAAAAAAAGGTTATCAACATAAAGTTATTGAGTAAGAACCCACCAACATTATGTGCGCAACAGTAATTTTAGTTGTAAGTTTACTGACAGTATCTGCTTTGCTTTCATAAGCAGCAAGCACTTAGCCCCTAAAATACAAAATGAATATTCTCATAGATATAAGCAGATTAATGTTTCTGAAATCCCAAACTTCTATATTCTACATAAATGAATTTCAATTAATCAGATGTATGTGAAGGAGAACTGTGAAAAATAAAAAAAGTTATTTAACTCTAAGAAATAAAATTATCTGTGAAATCCAAATTAAGACAATGTAATCATAAAGAGGAAGACTTGCTTGATCATTGTTGATCATAAAAATCGACTTTTTGAAAACAAAAGTGCTGTATTAAAAAAAAACAGGTAAAAAACATAAAATCCTTAATGACAATGTAGTAGGGCCCATAACAACTAGACTTACATAATTAATTTATCTAGCTAGAAATGCACGACTAAAATTTCCATTACTGCCTAATGGTAAAAATTTTAGATTTGTCACGAAGCCCAGGATACTGGAATTTCATTTAGATAAAAACTCAGAAAGAGCTGCATTAACAAAAATCAGTAAAATTTGATAAAATCATATAACTCATTTTAAAACACCATTATTTACAGATTCTCTTTGAATATACAACAGGTAATGATTCAATGAAGATGTTTTTACAATATTTATTAAGATAACAAAATTTATAAATTGAAAGACTCAGAGGCACATAGTTTAAAAGGCCAATACCATGGGAATAATGAAGTCAACACAGAAAAGAAGTATGAACAATTACAACCAATACAGGATTTTTAAAAAATGCCTCCCCCCAATAAACACATCATATGAATCATCCTTCAAAATTACCATGATAAAAAGTTATTTCCTTCAAAGAAAAATAATTCTTCCCACCTACTGAGCCTAGAAAATCCTATTTACAATGAACTGTCTGACATTTCATCAATATTGTTTAATATGGCCTCCTCTATTACTGCCATTAGAAGTATTCCAAATTTTATAGCTATTGTATTTACAAATACACATAATATTTAAATTTGCTCTTCACTGAGAACAACTCAATATATACTTAATAAAATCACAATACAGATGTTTTGGTGTTGAAAACACATTTTGTGGGGACAAGTATATGGAAAGAGGTGTATTTAGAATTATGTTGTTTCTGAAGGATTACTAGGCCAATGCTGATAAAACTCAAGGTAGTCACAAAAAAAAGATCTTTGTTAATGAAGAATTTATTTGTTTTAACTGGACACACTTGGCTTCTTCAGTCAACCTTCACCACGCTGTAAATTTTGGTAACAAACCAAAAGCATGCAAAGAAGCCAATTGTTCCTATAAAAGAAAAAAACAAAAATAAACCCTTTTTTAAAGCATCATGATTTACACAAAAATACAATACTTAAAATGACTGACTCAAAAAAAGTCACAAAACTATTAATTTTCAGAAATATACCATAGATCTATGAGCTTTTTAAAAAAACATACAACCATGTCAAGTAAAATTTCCTACAGAAATTGACAGAAAGAACTTTTGATACTGTAAGTTACCTAAGATTTCTATAAAACATTTTTTCTTAATACATGCAAAAGATTGAAATTAAAGAATGAAAAGAAAGACAATTTTCCTTTCCTATTTAAAAATATTTTCTTATCAGAAAATGGAAAGTTGATGTTAAATTAATTCAAGATATGATATGAATAGCTTAAGCAGAGTATCAGATTCACAGAATAATTAAATGGAGATATAGTTATTGGGCATTACCAGTTTTTGAAGAACTATAATAGCGTAAACTCAAAAACTTTTTATGAAGTGTTAAGAATCATATAATTAGAAGGGGCTACCTGAACTATGGACTTCTACTTCTTTTCCTGAGATACGGTACCCCAGACTGGGCAAAGAGGGAGAAGGAAGGACTGTGTACGTCTGTGGGTATTCTAAAAGACTTTAGTACTTTAACATAGACATTAAGTTATTACTCTAAGCCTGTATAACTTTTAAATAAATAATTTCTTTCCTCTTCAATCTCTGGCATTGAGAGATGTCTTTCCTCTGGCAGCGGGCAAAGCAAACCTCATACAGTGGGGAACCCCGAAAGAAAACGGGGGGTCCTTTTGGTAATAGTATATTGTTCACCCCCCACCCTGGGTCTGTTCTGTAACAGGCATACTCCACTTTAGAAAAACACCAACGTTCTTATGTCTGACCAATGACCTGGAATACAGAATTGATATTCAAAACCCTACTTAGTTCTCTTAAATGTTAACAGATGAGTAAAAGGTAGAACATTTCTAATTTTAAAAGCAGTTTTTCCTCTTTTTGGCTCCTATATTTCCTCATATACCATGCAACGCAACCTTACATAAAATTTTAAATGTACACTTTTGTGACAAAAACAGTCACACAACTTCCTTTTTTTTAGTTCAGTCATTCCACACATGTTTACTAACCATCCATAGGACTCTGAGATACAGAAAACATTTATCCAGATAGACAGGGAAAAATACATACATAAATATCAATATAATATATAGTACACTATATCCCAAAAGGTACTTGAATTTTAAAACAGAGATATAAACTTGTAGGTTGAAATTTCTTGAATAAGAAATGTCCTATGATTATCTTTTCTTGATATCATTTATTCTCAATCTCATCCTGACTTTAACTCCCACATTTTTACTTTACTTTTTAACTTAGCTAGCTAGAGCTTTGTACTTTATTTCTGAATTGGGCAAAACAAAGACTGTACTATTCAAAGGTTACCGAGGAAAACCTTAAGATATACTTTTAGGACAACAATGACCCTGTGTAGTTGGCTTCCCTTAGGTTCTGCTTTCTCACCTTGGTTTACTGATATTCACCTCACAGGGAGGCAGACTAGATTTAGTTGCACTCAGGACTAAACATAGGAGAGCTGAGTAGTGGCAGCCTTTATGGGTTTTATAAGGAAAATATTTATAAATATTTTGAATAATTGGCCTAAAAATTTATTAGTTAAAAATAATCATTTAAATTCTTACCTGTAAAAAGAAAGAAGATCAAAACCATTATCATGGTATAACCAAAGTACAGAATTGTACTTGCTGTTCCTGTGATTTGCAGTTTTGAAAAGAAGTAGTGTACTGCATATATTAAGAAATAAACTGCAGTAAAGCCACTAGTAAGGAATGAACGCCATTGCCAATGATAATCCTAAGTAGAAAGGAAAAAAATTAAAGAACAAGAATTACTTTCCAATTAATAGATAACATGTAGCAGAATAAAGTTACTCACCAAACATAAATAAATGAAATAACCCCTAGAACCTAATTTTTGCTAGAGATTCCAGTATTTTGCTCCTACTGAACTTTGTCAATTTCCCTCCTCACTAAAAGGGCTAAGAAGCATCCCTTATTTTTGGTGGAACTGCTTAAACACCAACTAAAAACATATGGAAAAATCTTAAACAGTTTATAACAATGAATAATGAAGCATTAAACTGTATTTTAAAATGTATGCTTCCCAAAGAAAAGTAGTAATTTTTTACTTACTTACTTACATAGTTTACTTACATTTACATAGTTCAAAATTAATACTACTTATCTTATAGTCTACACAATTATGTTAGGAAGAAAATTAATTCCATTAAGGCCTGGAGGAAATCCATTTTCAGTTATTACTATCATAATTTAAACAAGGTAAGTTTTTAAAACAGTTTTTACTTTTTCCTAAAGTAGCGTATAGCTTAGCAGGGGATGTTGCAAAAGAAATACGGTACTTCACTACATCTCCTACCCTTTTGAATGTGTGAAAAATAAATATATTTTAAAAGCATACCAAGATTAAAAATACAAGAGAATCCACACACAAAAATTACCATAGCTAGTAAACAAACTCAGCAATATTACAGGATACAAAATTAACATGAAAGTTAGTTATGTTTTTATATATCAGCAATGTACAATTCAAAAAATAAAAACTAAAAAATAAAAATCATTTACGACACCTCCAAAAGAATAAAATACTGAGGAATAAATTTAAACTAAGGAGGTGAAAGACTAATATACTGAAAACTACAAAATATTGCTAAAAGTAATTAAAGGAGACTGAAATAAGTGGAAATAAATCCCGTGGTCATAGATTGGAAGACCTAATATTGTTAAGGTGAAAATTTTCTCCAAAGTGATCTACAAATTCAATGCAATCCCTATTATCATTTCCCCCCCCAGAAATTGCAAAGTTGATCCTCAAATTCCTATGAAATTGCAAGGGGCCCTGAACAGCCAAAATAATCTTCAAAAAGAACAAAGTTGGAGGGCTTAGCCCAACAGTGTGGTACTAGCACAAGGATAGTGTATACACCACTGGAATAAAAGTGAAAATCCAGAAATAAACCCATACGTCTATGTTCAATGAATTTTCAACAACTTTGCCGAGCCCACTCAATGAGGAAATAACAGTCTCTTCAACAAATGGTGCTGGAAAACTGGATATCCACATGCAAAAGAATGAAGTCAGACCTCTAACTAATAACATACACAAAAATTAACTGCAAATGTATCAATCAATGATCTAAACATATGAGCTAAAATTATACACTTAGTAGAAAACATAAAGGTAACTTCATAACCTTAGATTTAGCAATGATAGATATGGCAACAAAAGAAAAAATAGATAAAATCAGACTTCATCAAAATTAAAAATTTTCATGTAAAGGACATCATCAACAAAGTAAAAAGACAACTTACAGAATGGGAACAATATTTGCAAATCATTTATTTGGTAAAGGTCTAGTACCAGAATATATATAAAGAACTCTTACAACTAAACAAAAAGATAAACAACCCAATTTAAAAAATGGGTAAACAAACAGAGTAAACATGTCTCCAAGTAAGATATACAGATGGTCAACAAACAAAAGAAAACATGTTGAACATCGTCAGTCACTGGGGAAATGGAAAACCACAATGAGGTATTACTTCACATACACTAGAATGGCTATAATTAAAAAAAAAAAAAGAGGAAAAATAACAGTGTTGGGAAGGACATGGAGAAATTGCAACCCTTATGCATTGTTGGCAGGAATGTAAAATATTGCAGCCACTGTGGAAACCACAGTTTGGAGCTTCCTCAAAAAGTTAAATGAAGAATTACCACATGTCTCAGTAATTCCACTTCTACATGTATATCCCTCAAGATTGAAAACAGGTACTCAAATATTTGTACATGAATGTTCATAGCAGTACTATTTACAATAGCTAAAAGGTAGAAACAAACCTAATGTTCATCAATGAATAAATGAATTGGGGTGTATCTATACAATGGAGTATTTATTCAGCTATAAAAAGAAATCAACTACTGATACTTGTTACAGTGTGCTGAACCTTGAAAACAGCCTGCTAAGTAAAGAAGCCAGACCCAAAAGGCTACACAATTATATGAAATATACAAAATATGTAAATCCATAGAAACAAAAGCAGCCTGGTGGTTGTAGGGTCAGAGGCAGAGGAAGAGGGGACTAGGAAGTACCTGCTTAATGGACATGGAATTTTGTTTATGGCGGGGGTGATGACAATATTTTGAAAGTAGTTGGACATGGTGGTTATGCAACAATGTAAATGCAGTAAGTGCCAATGATATACTCACTTTAAAATAGTTGATTTTATGCTATCTGAATTTAACCTCAATTAAAAAAATGTTGCTTTAATCCTTGCCCAAGGATATGTTTAACTGACTTAGAGAGAAAGAAACATCAATTGGTTGCCCTCCTGAGTGTGCCCCGACTCAGGATTGAACCTGAAACCTACATCTGTGTCCTGACTAGGAAGTGAACCCACAACCTTTTGGTGTACAGGATGATGTTCTAACTGAGCCATCTGGCCAGGACTAACTGTGGTTTTTCTAAAAAGCATTTTGAGTTTAACAAAGTTAGATTTTTATCTCCTGTATAGAAAATAACTTATATAAAAGAATTACTTAACACACTCTAAATCTTTAGATAGCAACTCTACCTATTACGTAAGGATATCATTTTGCCAGGATGCCACAAATATCACTCATTACAATGTAATGTATTAATATACTTTCCACTTAAAATGTTTACTTTTTCCTAAATTTTTGGTCTAGAAATATGTCACAAAAGAAATATTAAGCCAGACATTTAAATACTATAAAATAAAAATTATGCATAACATGGTATTCTTAAGAAATTAGCATTTTAAAGTTAAGCTCAAAGTAAATACTATTTGAACTGGGATACAATTTTAATTCAATTCTAAAGAGGGCTACATATGACTTAGAAATACAGGTCAATTTTTGTCTTAATAACATATATCTACAAAAATTATTTCAACAAATAGTTTCAGCCTCATGCCAAAATTATAAACATTGTGTACAAATTAACATAAGTGAATATTACTAATACATACCTCAGCACATAGGTGGAAATAGCAAAGAAGTATAGTTGCTTCAGAACATGTAATAACCAAAATGATAAACACCAAAAATAAGAAGCCAAACATATAATACATCTGGTGCGACCTATAATCAAACATATCAAAATGAAAGTATAAATATTTTCTCTTTGACACAGTAAATGACAATCTTTTCGTTTTTCTTCAGCTGAAAATGTTTGCTTTTTCTCTGAACTAATCAAACATGACAAATTCACATAGGTTTAAATGGTGATGGGGTGGGGATGGGGCAGAGGAGAAAAGATATGGCAACGTCATGGACTTTGCCTTCCAACTCAGGTAAAGCCTGAAACTCTTATTAATTCAAATACGCTTAATCTACTTGTTTACTGGTTTAATTTGATAAAAAAATTAATGGAAAGACAGAGCCAAACCAAGAAATGGTCACATTTAGTGTATATACATTTAATATATACACGGTAGTTTCTTATCACATATGATAAAAACAGTTGAATTTGAAAAACATTATAACAATCAGAAGGAAAGAGGTTCTAATCATTAAAAAGCTCAAATTTGGTTCTCACTTTATGCTCATCAAACCTTGATACTTTCTTTAACATATGTCAGTGTAATCAAAGAACTATCATAATATACTGCAATTTGTATACCCTAATAGAGTGAATCAAAATTACCACTATGAGATTTTCCATGCAAATAAGAAATCAGAGAATGAAGAACTCAGGATAAGAAAGAACTCTGAAAGCTTAGCTAGCTCGACCTTTCCTCCAATGCTTGCTTGAAAACCCTCTATCAGGAGCTCAAAGTATCTTCTCTGAAGCAGTACAAATTACCTATTTAAGAACAGGTTTGGAAACAATTTTTGTCACATGGTAACTGTGACACATAAATTACTTAATTTTCAAAACCTCATTTTAATCCCTGTAAAATGTGGATAATAACCACCTCATAGATATCTGAGAAAAGGAGGGATTAATAAGCCCTCAATTAATAATAGGTATGTATCATTATTATTTTTTTCTCACATGAAAAAAAAATAACCTTTTGGCTCCTAAGATTTCTTTTTTTTAAATTGTATTTTATTGTTTATGTTCTTTCTTTTTTTCTTAAAGATTTTATTTATTTATCTCTAGAGGGGAAGGGAAGGAGAGAGGAAGAGAAACATCAATGTATGGTTGCCTTTTGTGCATCCCCTGCTGGGAACTGGCCTGCAGGGAACCTGCCTGCAACCCGGTATGTGCCCTGACTGGGATATTGTTTATGTTATTACAGTTCTCCTTGCTTTTTCCCCTTTCCCTCACCTCCACCAGCAACCCTCTCCCTCTTAAGACTTCTGATTGGAGAATGGTTTACATTTGTAAAATATAAGTAATAACCCGTATAAACAAAAAGAGAAAGTTTAGTACTACAAATAGCGGTAATGGGAATAAGAGGACTTAGTCCTTAGCTTACCAAATACTATTCAAAATGAAGAAAAGCTGTATAAAGATGCATCCAAAGGGCAAAATTCCTCCCATGATAATACCAGGCAATGGCTTTGTGTAGAAGGACTGTTCAGGAATCTGACGTGGAATCTGATTGGTTCGAACAGGGTGTTCAATGGCCTTCAGTAAGACAAAAATGCAAGAAAAAATAATTTGTAATTATATATCTATTTAAAAATTCTTTGTACTAGATTATTTGCCTGTTTTTTCTCAGCTTCCATGCTGATACTAATGGCAATACAAGTCTACTTAAGTCATCAAACAGAAATCTGTATTTAGAAGCAACAAACCAGACACTAGGTGAAATATTATCTGTCTACTGGAACAAGCCACAGTTACCAGCAGTTATCCGCTGACTAGTGGCTTTACACTAAAAATGAATACAAAGAAGACAATATAGTACTTAGAAAAAAAATAGTTAGTAAAAAAGTAGAGTTAGGTTTTCCTTTTTAAATATACATTCACTGTAATATACATTAGCTGGTAAATATATATTAATGTAAATATACATTAGCTGGTTCTGAAGTTATTAGCAATGTATTTTTATTGGGAGATGGGAAATGACATCTTTATTAAAATAGCTCAATTTTACTAAGACTCAAGAACATGAAGAAGACAATGAATGACTATGTAAAGCTTTATTACCATAAGGTATGAGTAATGTTCTCATTTATTATCTCTTTCATAACACACTACATGACAGTATAAAAACAACTAGAATCTAAAGTACCTAAATATGGTTATATGAGTGGGGGAAAAAAGGTTACACATGTAGAAGTTAGTTTTCTAACAAAAAAGTTCAAAATGTACAACTTGTCTCATTGAGATTATACTTTCACAGACTACATTTTTACATATATATGATTCTATGAATATATCTATTTTTCATAAAATCATTACATATCTTTGTTCAATTTTTATATTTTTAGAATTTTAAGTCCTTATCTATGTTTAAAAATTTTCAAACTGTGTCAGTTTACTACTTATGCTATATAGATATTAAATCATAAATTAAATGCCAAATAATTGAAAAATCTTTTGTTAGACTGGCACAGTAGATACAGTGGATACTATGAGGCAATGACAGTTTCTTCCAAAGCACTGGATCCAGGTTGCCTCACCAAGTGTACTATAATAAATTATTTCTTTTAACCTTGTGGACTGAATATTTCCAGAGAAGAGCAAAGATAGTGAAGTTAGAGAAAGACACTGAAAAATAAATTAGCATTTTCCTCTTAGCCTGATAGAAGGGGATAGCACAGGTGGAGAAAGATAAGGTGAAAGAGGAAGTGACCCTTGATTATAATCTTCCTTAAAAATCAAGTATTAGCAGGTAAGCTATATAAAATTTATTATAAAGCAGAGAGAGGATGGCAGAGGAATAGGTGGGAACTGAGGCCACTTGCTTCTGCACCCAACTGGGACCCTTAGCTGATCTGAATAACAACAAAGTAAAAAGCCAACAGAATCTTAGCTAAGTTTGGAAGCCAAAGTGTGCAGAGTACGCTTCAAAATGGGCAGTAAGGAGGTTTTACAGGCAGACTGGGAAGGTCCTCAGAAGCATGGCTGCCACCCTCGACAACAGAGGAGCCAGGTCAGTTATAGCAGCCTAGTGGCTCCCTCCCCTCCCAGGGTGGGGAAATCCCAGACCCTCACCTGGAGTAACATGACGTGTGAAGTCGCTTGGGGGGTGGGAAAGGCAGCAATCACACACACAGCTGGCGGCACACCCAACTGGGGTGGAGGTTGCTGGCCAGGACAGTGCCAGAGAGCCGGGGATCCTGGCGGTAACTGGAGCTGGGAGAAGAGGTGGGCCGTGACTGGCTGTGACCCAGAAAGACTCTGGACTTGCCAGAGGGTTGGAGTGTGTGGAAACCCGGTCAGTGGCTCAGAGAGGCAGCGGCACCAACAGACTTTTATCAAAAGGGGAACTGGCAGGCACACTGGGCAGGGACCTCACATGCACAGCTGCTAGACCAATTAGGGGGATTTGCTCCCACTCAGTGCACCTCATGGATTGATCAAAGGGGTGCGAAGTGAGGTGGTTTATTGGTTCCAACCCAGCAGCAACTGTGCAGAATAGAGTGTGTGCAGCACAGTGCTCTGATAATGTGGGCTGGAAAATGGGTACCTGTGATTACTGTAGTCCAGACTGGGCCCCCATCCTTGCGGAACCATCAGAAAAGGGAAAACAGACCCCAGCCACCCACCATGTGCAGGAGCTGGAAAGACCTGCAAAAAAGGCTGCTTTTCCCCTGCCTCAAGAGTAGGACAGTAAGACCTGGACCTAGAGAAAACCAGAGATGGATCCAGAAAGAAGCCAGAAGGCAAGTACCAACAGCTGAGACAAATCTCACCCTGCTCTCCATCAAAACTTGCATTTTTTCTCTTTTCGTTTTAGTTTTTTGTTGGATATTTCCCTTTCATATTGCATTTTTTCTTCTTTCACTTCACTCATATGCCATATAACTCACAACTTTTGGTCTTCTACTTTTTATTCACATCGTACATTTTTTTTTTTATCATACTACTGTTATCCCAAATCCCACACAACACCCTTCCCTGGTTTTAACCCATTCTGCCATATTGCTGAGCTTAATTACTGTTGTGTAAACTTTATTTTCTCTCACACTGACCCATTTTCCTATCTCTTAATCTCACTATTTGTCCTCCATCTGACCTTGCATAAGTGCTATTCTTTCACAAATCAGCTCACATTTTTTTTACCCTCTACTAAGTTTTATTTCTTTTTCACCTTTTATAAACAGTGGCTAGTTGGGTGAAATACCATGGTTATCGATGTACTTCTCCAATGGAACCCTGATTTGTTCACTACTTGTTTGTACTTTAAATCCCATAAAACAATCCCCCACCCCACCTGTCTTACTCCATTTTGCCTTCCCCCTGCCCCTGAGTCGAGTGAGGAATTTTATTTCATTTCTATTACCCTACCCTCTTTCTCAACCTGGACATTACTCTGTACTCTTATTAGTTTGCTTCCCTCATCCTATCAAAATCATTTTTCGTTACTGTAGATATCTCATATTCACTTTTTGCTTTTATACAACATTCTTATTCCTGCTCCACCTTTATTAAGCTTCAGTCAGCTGTCCTTGCTATCAACTCTGCTGTGGTTGTTTGGCAATTTTCATTGTGTTGGTACAGTACCTTTCCTTTTTTTAAAAAATATATTTTATTGATTATGCCATTACAGTTGTTCTATCTCCCCCCTTCATTCCCCTCCACCCTGCACACCCCTCCCCCACCATTCCCCCGTTTAGTTTATGACCATGTGTCTAAAGTTCTTTAGATTCTGTATTTCCCATACTATTCTTGCCCTCCACCCTATCTATTTTCTACCTACCCTCTATGCTACTTATTCTCTGTACCTTCTCCCTCCCTTCTCCCACTTCCCTGTTGCTAACCCCTCCATGTGATCTTCATTTCTACGGTTCGCTCCTGATCTAGGCTGTCCTCTTTGTTTGTTTTTGGTTTAGGTGTGGTTCTTAATAACTGTGAGTTTGCTGTCCTTTCACTGTTCATCTTTTTTATCTTCTTTTTCTTAGATAAGTCCCTTTAACATTTCAAATATCATTGCTTCTAATATCATAATCTCTCTTGACCTTTATTAATCTTTTTTCGATTGTGGTTGAGATTGCTGATGTGGTAGAGGGGGTTCTTTTTGCTGGCGTAGGTTCAGTTGTCTGGTAACACTGCTTTGTTAACCAACACCTGTACAACAGCATACAAGACAAGGTGGGAATTGTGACTAACAATAAGTCCTCTGGAGGGGAGAACCCACCAACAAAGGAGCTACCAACAAGTAAAACCCAAAGACAACAAGACAGCCCACAAAAATGGAAGAAAGAGCAACCCTAAAACATCCAGACAAGGAGATCAAAGAGACTGCAATACTAAGTCTCACAGAACTCCTTCCCAGAAGTTCACCCTACAAAGACAGCTGGCAAAGCAGAGCATCTAGAATCACAGAAACAAACAAAAATGGTCTCTTAAAATGAAGAGACAAAAAAAGGGCCCACAATCAAAAGGAATAGAAGAATCCCCAGTAAAAGTGCTAAATGAAATGGAGGCAAGCAAACTATCAGACATAGCATTAAAGAAATGGTTATAAGGATACTCAAAAAACTCAGTGATGACTAGAAGGAACCAAAGGGACACTACAATAGCATGAAAAAAGAAATAGAAACTATAAACAAGAACCAGGAAGAAATGAAGAATACAACATCTAAAATAAAAAATACACTAGAATAAATTACAAACAAGCTGGATAAAGCAAAGGATTGAATTAATGAGCTGGAAGACAAGGCAGAAAGAAATACCTAGGTAGAGCAACAGCATGAAAAAAACTCAGAAAATATGAGGAATGCTTAAGGGAACTTCAGAACAACATTAAACATAACAACACTCAAATCATAGGCATACCAGAATGAGATGAAATAGAGCAAAGGATATAAAACCTGTTTGAAAAAATAGTGACAGAAAACTTCCCTAACTTAGAAAGGGGGAAAGCCACAGAAGTGCAGGAAGCACAGAGGGTTCCAAACAAGTTGAATCCAAAGAGGCCTACTCTAAGACACATCATAATTGAAATTCCAAATTTTAAACACAAAGAGAGAATTTTAAAAGCAGTATGGGAGAAACAGATAGTAACATACAAGGGAGCTCCTATAAGGTTAACAGCTGATTTTGCAACAGAAACAATACAGCCAGCAGGGAATGGCAAGAAATATTCCAAGTAATGAAAAGCAAAGGTCTGCAACCAACTGCTCTACCCAGCAAGGATGACATTTAAAATGGAAGGCAAAATAACAAGTTTCCCAGATGAAAGAAGGTTACAAGGATACACCTACACCAAACCAGTATTGCAAGACATGCTAAATGGACTGCTTTAAGGAGATGAAGAGATACAGTAAGAGAAAGAGGAACATAGGTACAAAAGAAAAAATGGGAAAGAATAAGTACCTTTCAGTAATAACATTAAATGTAAATGGATTAATGTAATTAATAACATTAATTATATTTAATGACATAAAATGACATATATTTAATGACATTAATTACATTTAGTGACATTAAATGTAATTAATAACATAAATAACATTAAATTTAATAACACAACATAAACTAATTACATTAAATGTAATTAATAACATAAATAACATTATATTTAATGTAATGTAATAGCATTAAATGTAAATGGTAGCTACATGGATAAGAAAACATAACCTGCATATATGCTGTCTACAAGAGACCCACCTCAGAACAAAAGACTTAGACAGACTGAAAGTGAAGGAAAAAAATATTCCAAGCAAATTCCCAGGAAAAAAAGCACCAGAATAGCAATACCTATACACAATACATTTCAAAACAAAGGCCATAAAAAGAGACAAAGAACGCCATTTCATAATTCTAAAGGACAAATCCATCAGGAAGCTATAAACATTGTAAACATACATGCATCCAATACAGGAGCACCCAAACATATAACAAAAATCTTGGAGAACTTCAAGGAAGATACAGACAGCAATACACTTTTGTAATAGGGGATTTTAACACCCCATTGTCAAAAATGGATAGATCATCCAAAGTATCAACAAGCACACTGTGGCACTAAACTACACATTACATAAAATGGTCTTAATCAATACACATGGAACCTTTCACCCCAAAGAAGCAATGCACACATTCTTTTCAAATGCACATGTAACATTTTCAAAGACAGACCACATGACAGGACACAAAACAAGTCTCAACAAATTCAAGAAAACCGAAATTATATTAAGCATTTTCTTGGATCACAATTGCTTGAAATGAGAAACCAAACTCAGGGAAAAAAACTCAAAAACAATCAAATAAATGGACACTGAATAATATGTTATTAAACAATGAATGGGTAAACAACAAGATCAAGGAAGAATCAAAAAGTTTCTAGAAACAAATGAAAATGAACACACAACAACCCAAAACCTATGGGATACAGTGAAGGCATTCCTGACGGGAGTTCATAGCAATACAGGCCTACCTATAAAAGACAAAAAATTTCAACTAAACGACCTAACCCTACATTTACAAAAATTAGAGGAACATCAACAAACAAAATCCAGAGCAAGAGGAAGGAAGGAAATAATCAAGATCACAGCAGAATTAAATGATGTGGAGACTAAAAGAACAATTCTAAAGATCGAAAAAATCCAGAAGCTGGTTCTTTGAAAGGATAAACAAAATTAAAAAGCCTTTAAGCAGAGTAATCAAGAAAAGAGAGATGATGAAAATAAATAAAGTCAGAAATGAAAAAGGAGAAATTACAACTGATACCACAGAAATACAAAGGATTGTAAGAAATTACTATGAAAAACTGTATGCCAAGACATTAGAAAACCTGGGCAAAATAGACAAATTTCTAGAAACGTATAATCCTCCAAAACTGAGTCAGGAAGAAGCAAAAAGCCTGAATAGACTGGTATCAGCTGGTGAAATTGAAGCAGTAATCAAAAAACTCCTGGAACACAAAAGCCCTGGGACAGATGGATTCCCAGAGCATTTTACCAATCATTTACAGAACAGCTAACCTGATTCTTCTCAAACTATTACGAAAAATTCAAGAAGAAGGAAGACTCCCAAATTCTTTTTATGAGGCCAGTATTATCCTAATTCCAAAACCAGATAGACACGACAAAACAAAGAAAACTACAGGCCAATATCGCTGATGAAAATAGATGCTAAAATTCTGAAAAAAATATTGGCAAACTGGATCCAGTAATCCATTAAAAAGATCATACACCATGATGAAGAGGGATTCACCCTAGGGATGCAAGGATGGTACAATATCTGTAAATCAATAAATGTAATGCACCACATAAACAATATGAAAGACAAAAACCACATGATCATATCAATAGATGAGGAAAAAGCATTTGATAAAGTACAGTAACCATTTATGATAAAAACACTCAGCAAAGTGGGAGTAAAGGGAGCATACCTCACCATAATAATAAAGGCCATGTACAAGAAACCTACAACCAACCTTATATTTAATGGGCAAAAACTAAAAGCTTTCCCACTAAGATAAGGAACAAGTAAAGGGTATTCACTCTCACCACTTCTATTCAACACAGTATTGGGAGTTCTAGCCAAAGCAATCAGACAAGAAAAAGAAGTAAAAGGCACCCAAATTGGGAACAAGGAAGTAAAGCTGTCACTGTTTGCAGATGACATGATAGTGTACACAAAAAAACCTACTGACTGCATAAAAAAACTACCTGACCTAATAAATGAATCTGAGAAAATGAAAAGATATAAAGTCAACATTCAAAAATAAAAGGCATTTTTGTATACCAACAATAAAATATCAGAAACAGAAATTGGAAAACAAAAAGAAAAATGCCATTTACTTTAACAACAAGAAAAATAAAATACATAGGAATAAACTTAACAAAGGAAGTAAAAGACCTGTATTCAGCAAAATGTATAACACCAAAGAAAGAAATTAAGAAAGACACAAATAAATGGAAGCATATTCTTGTGTTCATGGATTGGAAGAATTAACATCATCAAAATGTCTATATTATCCAAAGCAATCTATAGATTCGATGCAATCCCTATTAAAATAGCAATGACACATTTCATAGATATAGGACAAATGTTTAAAAAATTTATATGGAAACATAAATAACCCTGAGTAGCCTCAGCATTTGAGAAAGAAAAAAGTAGGAGGGATCACAATACCTGATCTCAAACTATATTACAAGGCCATTGTAATCAAAGCAGTCTGGTACTGGCAAAAGAACAGAAACATAGACCAGTGGAACAGAATAAAAAGCCCAGAAATAAACCCATGTCAATACTGTTCAGTTAATATTTGACAAAGGGGGCAGGAACATAAAATGTAGTAAAAATAGCCTCTTCAATAAATGATGTTGTGAGATCTGGACAAGTACATGCAAAAAAATGAAACTAGACAACCAACTTATACCATACACAAAAATAAATTTAAGATGGATAAAAGACAAATGTAAGTCATGACAACATAAAAGTCCCAGAGGAAAACATAGGGGGAAAATATCAATGTTCCATGCATCAATATTTTCAAAGATATATCACCTAGGGCAAGGGATATAAAGGGAAGAATAAACAAATGGAACTACATCAAACTAAACAGCTTCTGCACAGCTAAAGATAACATCAACAAAGTGGCAAGAGAACCAACTATATGGGAAAACACATTTGCCAATGATACCTTGGACAAGGGTTTGATCTCTAAAATATATAAAGACCTCACATGACTCCACACAAGGAAGACACGCAATCCAATTTAAAAAATGGGCAAATCACCTGATCAGATACTTCTCCAAGGAGGACATATAGACATCCCACAGACACATGAACAAATACTCAACATCATTAGCCATTAGAGATATGAAAATTAAACCACAACGAGATACCAGTTCACACCAGTCAGAATGGCCATAATTTACAAATCACCACAACCAGTGCTGGTGAGGTTGTGGAGAAAAGGGAACCCTAGTACACTGTTCATATGAATACAGATTGGTGTAGCCACGGTGGAAAACAGTATGAAAGTTCCACTATGGAAAACAGTATGAAAGTTCCTCAAAAAACCAAAGATGGTGCACTGGCTGGTGTGGCTCAGTAGTTGAGTGCTGGCCTTTGAATCAAAGAGTCACTGGTTTGACTCCCAATCTAGGGCACATACCTGGGTTGCTGGCCAGGTTGCCAGTAGGGGGCGCGTGAGAGGAAACCACATGTTTATGTTTCTCTCCCTGTCTTTTTTCCCCTTTCCCCCTCTAAAACATAAATAAATAAAATCTTGTTTTATTATTTTAATTGTTGTTCAAGTACAGTTTTCTGCCTTTTACCCCCATCCCAGCCCACCTCCCCAACTTCCTCTAAATAAATAAAATCTAAAAACAAACAAACAAACCCCCCGCCCCAAACTAAAGATGGAAATGTCTTTTGATCCAGCTATCCCACTGCTGGGACTCAATCTAAGAATACCAAATCACCAATTCAAAAGAACCTATGCATCCCAATGTTCACAGCAGTGTTATTTATAATAGCCAAGAGTTTGAAACAGCCTAAGTGCACATCAGTAAATGAGTGTATCAAAAAATTGTGGTACATTAACACAATGGAATACTACTCAATAAAAAGAAAGAACTCCTACGCTTTGTGATAGTGTGGATGGAACTGGAGAGCATTATGCTAAGTGAAATAAGCCAGGCGGTGAAAGACAAATACCATATGATCTCACCTGTAAGTGGAACCTAATCAACACAACAAATATGCAAAACAGAACAAGAGACCTGGAAATAAAGAACAAACTGACAGTGACCATAGGGCAGGGGGAAGGGAGATAATGGAGAAAGAAGGGGAAGGGGCAAGCAAAGGAACACAAATAGAGGACTGATGGACGCGAATAATGCGAGGGACTGACTGTGGGAATTTGGCAGTGGGATGGGTCGAGCAATGGGGAAAAAGGTGGGACAACTGAAACTGAACAACAATAAATAATAAATAATTTAAAAATAAAATATTTATTATAAAGCAATTTTCATTAAAAATTTGCTAGCCTTAATTTATAGTCACCTTTTTTACAACTTCACTTCTCAACCCATATGCTTGGTTACTTAGTTAACTAATGCACACTAGAAACATTTATTGCTAAGGAAAAAATATACGTACATTTAAGGTTAAAATAAAAAGTTAAAAAATAATTTATTTTAATGTCGAAATTTTAAAATTTTGATTAGTTTAAACTAGATTTTCATTTCCTATTAATTTATATTAGTTTCCACTTAGAGAACTTTGAAATCTAAGTTTATATCTATAATCTCTCTACTATACTTCTGAGTACTGTTTAAAAAGCTTCTAAGCTTTTTAAACAATAATTGCAATGAAAGTTCAAAGTCATCAATCTTCTGTGAATTCCAGATTCCACAGAATAAGTTTATATCTTTTAGACATGTATCTTTTAACGTGGCATATGCTAGTTTCCACAGTTGAAATTCATTTGAATAAGTTAAACTTACATTCTTCTTAAAACCAAAGTATGCACCAATAAATGTTAGAGGCACAGATATGCAGAACCAAAGGGCCAATATGGCAACCAGTGTTCCAAAAGGAATAGCTGCTGAAGATCCTTCTCCCCAGAGAATCAGATTCATTATAAAGAAGTCAGCAAATACAATCCTGAAAGACAAAACAGGCTTTAAGTAAAACTTGAGTTAGAAGCAAAATGAAATAGTAGCAATCATATGAAGTAATATAATATTACAATTTTTGTTTTACATATGAAGAAAGTAAAATTGCTGGGTCATGAGATATGTGAATTTAAAACTTCAGTAGAAATTGCATAATTACTCTTTATACTGATTTTGCCTGACTTAAGTTCCTGCAAGCAGCTATTGAAAGTTGTCTCTCTACATATTTTCAGTATGCCAGGGATTGTCAGATTTGTTGTTTTAATTTTCATTTCCTATTGACCACTGCATCTGAGCATCCTGTATTTGTTGGCGTCTTAGGTCTTACCTTTTGTAACTTACTGGTTATATCCACTGCTTATTTTGTCATTTTGGTTGCATGGCTTTTGGAAAGTCACACATGTCAGCTATTTATATACTCCATCAACTAACTCCTTGTTAAGTATCTTGTTCTCCCAGTTTATGGCTTTTGATGAACCCAAACATTTGAATATGTGTACTTTATTTCCTTTCAGTCTTTCTTCTATGAATACATTTTCAAAAACATGACTGTAATCTTACTATAATCACTTCTATGTACCCTGCATAGTTTTTAATGTTACCAAAGTCATCATTTTTTTCCCTCTATCCTTTGGGTAACTTGTTCAAGAGAAGAAAGCCTTTCCTAACCTGGGATCATGAAAATACACTTCTGTATCATCATCTAACTATTATACCTGTTAGAATACATTTTTATTTTAATCCGCCTAGAACTGATTCCCTGTGTGAGGTTAGAACAAAATTTTTCTCCCTTCATCTAGTGTGCTTCCATGTATACATGGTCTATTTCTGTGGTTCTCTGTCCTGCTAGCCATGAGCCATTTCCAAACTCCTTCACAATACTTAGTTAGTTTTTTGGTTTCTTATCAAGTATCATAGTGAATATCTATCTGTTACTAGTTAAGCAATGTAGACTGGCCATATGAATTATGCCTATTTTGACAAGTTATCTCAGAATATTATAAAGGTCTTCTGTTGCTAATACTACTGTAAGTAGATTCCTGTTCCCACAAAACTACCACTAGCATTAAAAAATGTTATTTGCTATTGTCAGTATTCATGATCTTGGAATAATAGTTGACATCTAGCCATTTTGCCAAACTCCTATTCACTCTACAAGTTTTATATAGCTGAAATTTATTGATGTTTTCTGTATACAATATGCCACCAATTATATGATCTCCAACTTTTGAAATGTATTCCTTGTTTCATGTTAAACTGAAGCCATAAAAGTGATTTAATGAAAGTATCTCTAGTGTTTCATCATTAAATGATGTTGGATTTGAAACAGAGATGAGAATTTTATTAATATAAGAAACCATGTCCCCCTCCATTAAATTTTTTTAAAAAATCATTTATTTATTTATTTTTAGACAGAGGAGAAGGGAGGGAGAAAGAGAGAAAGAGAAACATCAACGTGTGGTTGCCTCTCACGTGCCCTGAACCAGGGAACCTGGCCCACGACCCAGGAATGTGCCCTAACTGGGAATTGAACCAGTGAGCCTTTGGTTCACAGGCCAGCCCTCAGTCCACTGAGCCACACCAGCTAGGGCTCTCCATTAAATTCTTTTTTGAAAGTTTTATTTTATTTTTATTTATTTATTTTTAGAGAGAAGGGAAGGGAAAGAGAAAGAGAGGGAGAGAAACACTGATGTGTGGTGAAAGAAATATCAATTGGTTGTTTCTCACATGTCCCCAACTGGGGACCTGGCCCACAACCTAGGTATGTGCCCTGACCTAGAATTGAACTGGCGACCTTTTGGTTGCCGGCTGGCACTCAATCCATTAAGCCACACCAGCCAGGCCATTAAATTCTTTTTAAGTCTGAAAACAATGTTTAATATTATCAAATGCCATTTTGTTGTATCTACTGTAATAATTATATGCAGGAGTTTATTTTTATAAAATTATATGAATCAATTTCATAGTATTAAAACATCCTTCTTTTCCTAGGTGAACACCAATTTCCCTTACTCGAGGAACTTGGGTTGTTGGCTCTCTCTATTTCTCTGCTTACATCACTACCCTACTGGTGAACACCTACTTCTGAAGTAAAAGAAGGGTTGCTCAAAGAGGTAAAGGAAAAAGGAGGTAGTTACATACAAGGGAACAATTAGTCTGTATTCTGAATTCTCAACAGAAACATTACAGGCCAGAAAGGAGTGGTGCAAAATACTCAAGGTGATGAAAAGCAAGCACCTACATCAAGTCTACTTTACCCAAGAAGGCTATCATTTAAAATTGAAGGAGAAATAAGGAGCATCCCAAACACACACACACACACACACACACACACACACACATGAAAGTAGTTTGTTAACACCAAATGTGTATTGCAACAAATGTTAAAGGGCTCGGTTAAAGAAGAAAAAGAGAAAGAAAAAAAAAGACACAGGAAAATACTCTAAAAATAAAAGGCACTAAATATGTATCTAGCAATAATCACCTTAAAAGTAAATGGCTTAAATGCTCCAACCAAAAGACAGAGGGGATGAATGGATAAGAAAACAATTCCCATGAACATGCTGCCTCCAAGAGTCCCACCTCAGATCACAAGATATACAACGGCTACAAGTAAAAAGACAGAAAAAGATATTTCATGCAAATGGAAAGGGAATAAAAAGATGGAGTAGCAATAGTTATATCCTACAAAATATACTTTAGTAAGACTGAAGACTATAGATTTTAGTAAGGCCAAGACTATAGTAAGAGACAAAGAAGGACACTACATAATGATGAAGGGAACAATCCAACAAGAGGATATAACCACAGTAAACATTTACACACCCAATAAAGGAGAAGCAATTTATTTAAAGCAAATCTTGATGCACATACAGGGAGAGACTGACAGAAACACACTGTCTGGGATTTTAACACCCATTAATTTCGATGGATCGATATTACAGACAGAAAATCAACAAGGAGATAGAGACCTTAAGCACACTGGATTAAATGGATTTTACTGATGTCTTCAGAGCATCTCATCCCAAAAGAATATACATACTTTAAAAGTGCAAATGGAACATTTTTGGGGGATAGACCACATGTTACAACATAAAACAAGTCTCAATAAATCTAAGACGACTGAAATCATATCAAGCATCTTCTCTGACCACAATGCTATGAAACTAGAAATCATTACAATCATAAGAACACTGAATAACATACAAGGACATGGAAGTTAAACAACATGTTATTAAACAGTGACTACTAGGTCAACATCGAGATCAAGGAAGAAATCAAAAGATACCTTGAAACAAATGAAAATGAGAACACACAATTCACCATCTGTGGGACACAGGGAAAGCAATCCTAAGAGGAAAACTCAACATTACAGGCTTATCTCAAAAAACAAGAAAAAGCTCAAATGAACAATCTAAGTTTATACTTAAAGAAACTGGAAAAAGAATGACAGAGACCAAAGTGAGTAGAAGGAAGAAAATGATAAACATTAGAGCAGAAATTAATGAAATAGAGTCTAAAACAACAACAACAAAAGACCAATGAATCCAAGAGCTGGCTCTTTGAAAAGATAAACAAGATTGACAGACCTTTAATTGGATTCATCAAGAAAAACAGAGAGCACCCAAATAAACAAAATCAGAAATGAAAAAGGAGAAATAGCAACTGACACCAAAGTAATACGGTTGTGCCAACAAATTGGACAACCTGGATGAAATGGATAAATCCCAAACATACAATCTTCCAAAACTAAATCAGGAAGAATCAGAGACTCTGAATAGACAGATCATACCAAGTGACATTGAAGTAGTAATCAAAAACTCCCAACAAACAAAAGCCCTGACTGGATGGCTTCACAGGGAAATTTTACCAAACGTTCTGGGAAGAACTAACAACTCAGCTTCACAAACTATCTCAAAAAATTTAAGAGGAGGGAAGGCTCCCAAGCTCATTTTATGGAGGCCTGCATTATCCTAATTCCAAAACCAGATAAAGACATTACAAAAAAAGAAAATTACAGGCAATATCCCTGATGAACATAGACGCTAAACAAAATATTAGCTAACCAAATATAGCAATGCATCAAAAAGATCATACACCGTGATCAAATGGAATTTATTCCGGGAACACAAGGTTGGTACAACATTCACAAATCAATAAATGTTTTTCACCACGTAAACAAAATAAAGGATAAAAACCACCCGATCATATCAACAGATGTAGAAAAAGCATTTGATAAAATCCAGCACCCATTTATGATAGAAACTCTCAGCAAAGTGGGAATAGAGGGAACATACCTAAACATAACAAAGGCCACATATGACAAACACAATACCACCATCACATTCAATGGGCAAAACCTATGAGTGCTCCCCTTAAGATCAAGAACAAGACAGGGATGTCCACTTTTGCCTCTCTTATTCATCATAGTACTAAAAGTCCTAGCCACAGCAATCATACAAGAAGAAGAAATAAAAGGCGTCCACACTGGAGAGGAAGAAGTAAAACTGACTTTATTTCAGATGACATGATACTGTACAAAGAGATGACATGATACTGGGGTACAAAGAGAACCCCAAAGATTCCACCAAGAAACTACTAGGAATGGTAAGTAAATTCAGCAGAGAAACAGGATACAAAATTAATATCCAGAAATCAGCTGCATTTTTATATGCCAACACAATTTCTCTAACAGAAAGGGAAATGAAGAGAACAATCCCATTTGCAATTGCCTCGAAAAGAATAAAATACCTAGGAATAAACCGAACCAAGCATGTAAAAGCCCTGTACTCGGAAAATTATAAGACACTGAAGAAGATCCTCTAAGTGGAGGCACATAACCATGTTAATGGGAGGAAGAATTTACATCATTGAAATGTCCATACTACCCAAAGCAATCTATAGATTCAACTCAATTCCTATCAAGATTCTGATGATGTATTTCACAGAACTACAACAAATATTTCAAAAATTTATATGGAACCACAAAAGGCCCTACGTAGCAACAGTGATACTGAGAAAGAAGATCAAAGTTGGAGGAATCACGCTATATAATATTAAACTATACTGTGAAGCCATAGTAATCAAAACAGCATAATACTGGCATAAAAACAGACACATAGATCAATGGAACAGAATAGACAGCCCAGAAACAAGCCCACACATTTAGAGTTAACTAATATTCGATAGGGAAAATAAGCATATACAGCGGGCTCAAGATAGTTTATTTAATAAACAGTGTTGGGAAAATTGGACAAATACATGCAGAAAAATGAAACTAGACTATGTTTTTAAATCACACAGAAGAATAAATTCAAAATCAAAGACTTAAATGTTAGACCCAAAGTCTTAAAAATTTTATAAGAAAATATAATCAGCTAAATCTCATACATTGCTCACAACAATGTTTCATTGGCTATATCTCCCCAGGCAAAGGTGACAAAAGAAAAAATAAGCAAATGAGACCACATCAAACTAAAAAAAGTTTTGCAAAGCAAAGAAAACATCAACAAAATAAAAAGACAACCCACAGAATGGGAGAACATATTTGCCAACACATCTCATAAGGGGTTAATATACAAAATGTATAAAGAACTAAAAAACTCTATACCAAAAAAACCCTTCCAAAAACCCCCAAACAATCCAATTGAAAAATGGGCAAAGGACTTGAATAGACACTTCTCCATAAAGGACATACAGATGGCCAATGGACATATGAAACAATGCTCAACCTCACTAGTCATTGGAGAAATGAAAATTAAAACCACAATGAGATATCATCTCACATTTGTCAAAACGATTATCAATAAATCAACAAACAACAAGGGCTGATGAGGATGTGGAGAAAGGGGAACTCTTTTGCACTGTTAGTAGGAATGCAGATTGGTGAACCAACTGTGCAAAGCAGTATGGAGATAGATACCTCAGAAATTAAAAGTGGATATGCCTTTTGATCTAGCAATCCAACATCTGGCAATACATCTGAAGGAACCCAAAACACTAATTCCAAAGAACTTAAGCACCCCTATGTTCATTGCAGTGTTATCAACAATCACCAAGATTTAGAGGCAGCCCAAGTATTGTACATCAGTAGATGACTGGGTAAAACAAATATGGGACATGTATACAGTGCTTGGCTATAAAAAAGAAAATGCTACCCTTTTTGACAGTATGATGAACCAAGAGAACATTATGCTAAGTGAAATAAGCCAGTCAGAGAAAGACAAATACTGTATGATTTCACTTGTATGTAGAATCTAATAAACAAACTGAAGTAACAGGCAAAATACAGACAGACTCATACATACAGAGCAGGATGACAGGGCAGGGGTTTGGCATCAGGGTTAATTGGGTGGGTGGAGGGACTGAACAAAAGGAAAAAGGACTCATGGACATGGACAATAGTATGATTATTGTGGGCGGTTAGGAGGATATAAGGGAACTAAATGGTAATGGAAAAAATAAACCATGATTAAAAAAAACCACAGCATATACAATAACATGCCAGACTAACATCTACAGATTGAGGCACAGACTTTTTAAAAAGGAACATAAAAATTTCCCATACCTAGAGGTACTTTTTCCAAATAAAACATGTAGTAGTCATTCTATAAATGCTTATTAAATATTCATTTTTTAGTATTTAAGAAAGTCAATTCTTGAGTACACAGTTTAAAAACAAATAATGTTAAAGGCTTAAGGGATTAAAATTTGAGAACTACCACATGACTATGTTAACAAAGTTATTATGGAAAAATTCACTTACCCAGGACAAAGAAAAGATGTCAATAAAACATTTGTTTTCCACTTCTCACCTCCAAAGGCTGTAGAAGAAAACAAAAATGACATAGAGACAGACTTTTTTCACATCAAAACTCCAGGTCTGGCACTGGACAAACTGTCAGATAGCAATGGGTACCTATTCACAGAAAATAACACTAGCCAATGATATGATATTCTTTAATCAACTGATCCAAATCAGAGATGCACATCACAGAACTGCCCTGGGTAAGTGCTGCTGTAAAGATTTTTGCTTCAGCACAAAATAAACCTTGTATCAAAGGAAAGTCATCCATACTAGTTTTTTTTTGTCTGTTCTTTTTTCTATGTCAAAAATAAAACAAACCTTTACATTCTAAGCCAGTGTGAATAATGGGCACGGGTAGAGAAAGGACACAGATTCTTATTGATCTTGTGATCAGTCTCAGAATTTGTGATAAAACCAAGAACTCTAAATTCTGGTAGGATGGGAGGGGGGTGGGGAGATCAATGTCAGATCAGTTGGTTAAGAAGAGAAGAAAGGTTATGACCATTGACAGAACAAATTTGTTTATGAACATTTTACTCTCCTTTGCTCCTTTCCTCTCCAATTTTTTCCCAGTTAAAAAAAACAACTCAGGTATACAGAGTAAGAACTGAAAGTACTCCTCTACTCCCAGTTTAAACATAGGGGATGAAATTGGCTGAGACCTGAGAACAACTTTAAATTGTTTTAAAAAGTGTTAACATAATTTATAAGCAAGTACCATTTGCCCTAGAAGAAACTGACAATTTATATATAATTTGAAGTCACAGGATTATTGATAAAGTAACTACTGTGAAATTATTAATTTGGGTTTAATATAATTCCAATCAGAAAACAAATAATATTTTTTGAAACTTTAGAAATGAATCTATATAATGAAGTATTTTGTGATTGAGGCCACGTAGCGCCTCTCAGAATATTCTACCTAATTAATATGCTATTTAATCTGTAACTGGGAGATCTTAAGAATGAAGAGGAGTTAAAACGGGATTTGTCTGTGATGAGGGAGTGTGGATTGGAACTTCACGCAGAGGGAACAGCATGTGGAAAGATCCTTTGGAAAGTGTAAAGGTCCACTACCTGACTGAAGAACTGAAAGAAAGTCAGCACAGCTGAAACAGTAAAAAATGGGAGGCTTATGTACAGGCAGGGGTCCAACTATATCTCACATGTATTAAATACATGACTACCCTAATTACGTGTCCTTTAGTAAAGGATGAAAGAAAAAAAAGACCTGAAAAAATTCACAGAAATTAAACACACTTACATACACACATATATAGGACTTCATATACTGAGGAAAAAATTCTTTTTTTTTTTTTTAATTTATTTTTATTTAATTATTATTTTATTTTTATTTTTTTGAATTGTTTATGCTGTTACAGTTGTTCTATTCCCCCCTTCATTCCCCTCCACCCTGCCCCCCCAACCCCCCGATTACCCCCCCTTTAGCTTATGTCCATGTGTCTCAAGTCCTTTAGGTTCTGTATTTCCCATACTATTCTTGCCCCCCCATCTATTTTCTATCTACTGTCTATGCTACTTGTTTTCTGTACCTTCTCTCCCCGTCTTCTACTCCCACTCCCCTGTTGCTAACCCTACTTGAGCTCTTCATTTCTATGTTTCCACTCCTGATCTAGCTGTCCTTTTAGTTTGCTTTCGTTTTAGGTGTGGTTGTTGATAACTGTGAGCTTGTTGTCCTTTCACTGTTCATGTTTCTTTAACTTCTTTTTCTTAGATAAGTCCCTTTAACATTTCATATAATAAGGGCTTGGTGATGATGAACTCCTTGAATTTGGTCTTATCTGAGAAGCACCTTATCTGTCCTTCCGTTCTAAATGAAAGTTTTGCTGGGTAGAGCAATCTTGGTTGTAGGTCTTTAGTTTTCATGACTTGGAATATTTCTTTCCAGCCCCTTCTTGCCTGTAAGGTCTCTTTTGAGAAATCTGCTGACAGCCTGATGGGGACTCCTTTGTAGGTGATTGTCCCCTTAGCTCTTGCTGCTTCCAGGATTCTCTCCTTCGTTTTAATTTTGGCTAATGTAATTATGATATGCCTTGGTGTGTTCCTTCTTGAGTCCAACTTTTTTGGTACTCTCTGGGCTTCTTGGATTTCTTGGAAGTCTGTTTCCTTTGCCAGATTGGGGAAATTTTCTTTTATTATTTGTTCAAATAGTTTTTCCACTGGTGGTTGTGTCTTTCCCCCTTCTGGTACCCCTATAATTCGGATATTGGAGCGTTTATAGATGTCCTGGAAGTTCCTAAGCTTCTCCTCATTTTTCTGAATTCTTATTTCTTCATTCCTTTCTGATTGATCATTTTTTCTTCCTTCTGGTTTACTCCATTGAGTTGAGTCCCAGTTTTTTTTCATCTCTATGGGTTTCCTGTGGAATTCCATTCATTTCCCTTAATTTAGCCTTCATATGTTTCTCTAATTTGTGGCTATAGTCCACCAGATCTGTGAGGAAGCTGACGACCAGTGTTTTAAACTGTGCGTCTGAGAGATTTGCTATTTCTTCGTCACTTAGATTTATCTCCGGGACTTTGAGGTCCCCCTGCGACATTTTTGGTCTGTTCTGGCCCTTTAAGTGAGAGAAGCGGCGCCTTGGAGTCCCAGGTCGCTTGGTTGTGACGCTGTATGTGGGGGCGTGGTCAGAGCGGGGGTGGGGGTGGGGGGGAAAATGGCGCCGCCCGGTCCCCGCTCACTCCCTCACCCGCGCGTAACCGGGCACCCACAGTCAACTCGCTGCCACCGCCTCCCCACTGACTCCTCCGTAGTCACTCACCCGGTGGGCTGCTCACTAGGTCCAATCCTGGGTTTGGAACCCGTGCGTCTGGATTCGCGCGTCTGGGTTCCGCGCCCGCGCCCGGGTCGAACAAGTTCTCCTTTGTAACTCCTCAACCCGCCGCCGCCGGTTTGCCTCTTACCGGCCGGGCCGGAGAATTTGCTGTTTGCGGACTTCCGAAAAGTCGCGCGTCTGGGTCCCGCGCCCGCGCCCGGGTCGAACGAGTTCTCCTTTGTAACTCCTCAACCCGCCGCCGCCGGTTTGCCTCTTACCGGCCGGGCCGGAGAATTTGCTGTTTGCGGACTTCCGAAAAGTCGCGCGTCTGGGTCCCGCGCCCGCGCCCGGGTCGAACGAGTTCTCCTTTGTAACTCCTCCACCCGCCGCCGCCGGTTTGCCTCTTACCGGCCGGGCCGGAGAATTTGCTGTTTGCGGACTTCCGAAAAGTCGCGCGTCTGGGTCCCGCGCCCGCGCCCGGGTCGAACGAGTTCTCCTTTGTAACTCCTCCACCCGCCGCCGCCGGTTTGCCTCTTACCGGCCGGGCCGGAGAATTTGCTGTTTGCGGACTTCCGAAAAGTCGCGCGTCTGAGTCCCGCGCCCGCGCCCGGGTCGAACGAGTTCTCCTTTGTAACTCCTCCACCCGCCGCCGCCGGTTTGCCTCTTACCGGCCGGGCCGGAGAATTTGCTGTTTGCGGACTTCCGAAAAGTCGCGCGTCTGAGTCCCGCGCCCGCGCCCGGGTCGAACGAGTTCTCCTTGTAACTCCTCAACCCGCCGCCGCCGGTTTGCCTCTTACCGGCCGGGCCGGAGAATTTGTTGTTTGCGGACTTCCGAAAAGTTCAGTTTTCCGTGTTCTGGTTGTGTTTTCTGATGCTAATATTTAGTTGTCCTTAAACTTGGTTGTGAGAGGAGGCAGGCACATCCACCTTAATCCTCCATCTTGGCGGAAGTCCTCTAATTATTTTTTTCGGAAAAAATTCTATCATACGTCTAGACAACATGTTAAAACCACCTATGTAGCCCTACTGTTTTATGTTTTAGCTTAAGCCTTATTAATACCAACCCTAGCTCTGTTCTATCTCCTTGGCACTTTAATTCAGATTACCTATGGAACCATCTCAGTGGATTTCAGGATTCCTAAATGAGGCAAACTCTGGCAATCACTGACCCTGGCAAAGCTGCTTTCTAAGTCATCTAATCATATCCCATCCTCTTTCTCCCTGAACTCTATTTTTAGAAAGCAAGAATACAAGAGATTGCAACTATGTTTTAAAATCACCTTACTTCAAGGCTCTTTAAAATAGTGATACCTTAGTTTACTTTAAATAGTTTAACTTTATAAATATTAAATTGATATAAGTATGATTTCTTATACATAAGGAAAGATATTCCTATATATATTACTTCAGTGAATTGGTGATACCCTGTGGTAGACTTCTTCCTTTATTTGTCTACATATGTTTCCATGAATGTAGCAAATCTAAGTTGTTCACTTGACCTTGTTAAGTCAAAATTAAATGGAAAAAAAAGACAGGGGTTGATGGACAAGTAACACCTAAATTTGCTTATTTCACTATATAAGTATTTTTGAACAAATAAATCTAGGGATAGTCATCCACTTCACAAGCTTCTTTTAAATAAGAATATACACCAATAATACATATTGTTTAAGGAGTATCAACAACCAGACATCAAGGCTCAGAGGCACTGAAGTAACAGATTATATTCCTGATCTGGCACCCAGTTGGGTGGCTTTTACTTACACTTATAGAATCTGGCAGCAACATAGCCAGCAGGTGTGCCCAACAGCACCCACAGGACCACAGCACAGGTCATCAATGCTCCTCTGTTGGCAGGTGACAAAAATCCCAAGCAAGCAAAAACTAAGAAAAAAGTAATTTAAAGTAAAAAGTTTTATTTTGTTTCCTTTGTTGTAAAGTGATGTAAGTAAGACCCTAGTCTTTAAAAGTAATGAGCACAACTACCTGAAAATACACTATCTTACCACACAGCCACACCGAATCTCAGTAATATTTAAGGTACTGCATCAACAGGATCACGCATAAAGCAACCTCCACTTTGGAAGTTTCTTGTCAGGGTAAGGCCTCGCCGTTCCTGTTATCAGAGGAGGCTGAGCAGATGTTTCTGAGGGCTTTCAGCTCTTCTAAGATTCAAATACAGCTTTTAAAATTAACATCAATTAAAATATTCCAACTATGAAATAGTCTCATTCTTTGTTACTTTTAAAATGTCCTCTGGGCTGAAAAAAGCCTCATAACATTCAAATACGAGACAAAATAGAACCTAATCAAAGAATAAAATAGGGAAAAAGATTCCATAGTACCATTAGCTTTTTGAACATAAGTTACTGAAAGACTTGATCAATGACTCAGGAGAATTCTGGCTCCTACGCTTATTTAGTTGGTTAGATTTATTTGTTCTTCTCTATATAACCGTCTCTGTTGATAAAAATAAAAATATAATCTTATATTTCTAGAGACTTCTAACTTTAAGCTAGGACTCAGAAATTATGATTTGCACAGAAACTTGAGTGGCTTTCTAATCCCAGGAGCAAGAAACTTCCTGGCATTTCTTCTGGGATATACATAACCAAGCACACACACATGCACACCTCTGATCATCAGGGAGGGGCAAAAGGAGAAACTCATGATCAGCAGGAAGGCAGAAAAACAATCACGGTAACATTAGATGTACTAGAATTTCAGCTAAGATGCACTGCCTTCCCCCATCCCCCACCCTTCAGGCCTGAGAAATAGACTATTCTGAGGCAGAAAGTTTATATTCAAGTATTTAAGGAAAATGATCCTGAATATTTCCTGTCCTAGGCTCTCTGAAACTTTCCTCCCTCGTAAGTTCACTTCATAGCCAACCCCAACAAAGTCCAAATGGTGGCAGAAGGCAGCTCCAAATGAAATTTTAAAGAATTTTATCCTCAAACATCCATTCTGCTCTAATGCTACCCTGGCTCCTTGGGAGTCCAGTGCCTTCGTGCCATCCTCTGCCTATGTCCCTGTCTTTTTCATGACTTCTCCCATCCTACCTTATCCTGTGTAATATACTTATTAATTGTAGCCCTACTCATCACAGCTGCATCTCTTTATCTAAATAAATATATATATTCTAGTTAATCTCCATGTTAGTCTTCAAATTGAACCTGGAGGTGTTACTCAGTAGTTCCCAAACTTATTCAGGTACCAGACATTTCAAAGTGGTAATTCTCTTTGTAAAGTATTTATGTAGTTAATTCCATCACAAAAAATTTAGAGTTTTACTAACAGAAAGTGACTTTACTATTATATATTTAATAAACATCAAGCATAAGACATGTTTACTAAAAATTATTAAAAGGTCCGTGGTTTGTGAATTGTTCCAGTAATATTCATTTGTTATTGTTCATCACTAGCAGGCATTAATAAAGGGGGGAAAAAAAGCAAAATTTAGGATACCCATTATGGCAGAGGAATAATTGGAAGCTACAATAACCTCCTCCCAGGACCAATGTGGACTACAATTAAATTGTAGAGATATCATCCTGAATAACCAACTGAGCACTAGCTGGAAAGAAACTTACAACCAAGGACAGACAGAAGAAACCACTTCACTACAACATGACTGGCAGGAGGTAAGGAGGTGTGAGAGGGCTGGCGGGCTCACACGGGTGGCAGCTGAAATTCCAGAGGGATATTTCAGCAGCCAGGGAGTTCTCCCTGAGAATTGTGCTATCTAAATCCTAAACTGGGCTTCCTAAGCTGGGCTTCCCAGGCTACAGCACCAGAGCCAGGAAAAGAATCCAGGTAACAGCCAGAAGTGAAAAGCAGCAGGGGTTTCTGTCTGCCAGGGAGACATGGCCCCTGAGAGCCTCCTAAAGGGCCAACAGACAAAATTTCATCTGCAGCCACTTCCTCTGGGCTCCGGGAGAGTGCACTAGAGATTTCGTGAGGAGAACCTGGGGCTGGTGGCTCTGGGGAGACAGCTGAAGGAACAGCTGCAGGAACCCTGTGCTGAATCATTCTCCATACTGCAGAGGCCACCCTTCTCAGACAAAGCATTACTGTCCAAGTGGCATCAGCCTGAGGAGAACCAATAATCCCAGCCTGTGGAACTTAAACCAGCCGTATTACAGCTTGGCTATATGGCAGATTAAGTATAACAACTGAGGCAGCTCTCTGGGAGCTTTGAGACTTCAGCTTACCCTTTCCCCGGGTCTGGTGCTGGTAAAAGTGGGCAGCCTAGTTCTTTCTGTACACGCCCAGGCCTAGCAGAGGAAGCCACAAGCTGTGGACTGCTGTTAGCTCCAAACAGGCTGCCCAGGGCCAGTCACAATAAATAAAAAAATAAGGGCTCATGAGGATGTGGAGAAAGGGGAACCCTTTTGCACTGTTAAATGGTAATGGAAAAAAATAAACTTTCAGAAACTAAATAAATAAATGCAAAATTTAGAAAATTTTATTCATAAACATTTTTCTCTTAAAATTAGGAAAACTGAAAGACCATGGAAATGTGTCCCTAGAGAGTAGTTAACAGAACCACTCCTATGGCCAATCTATAACTCAAGCTTCCTGTCCTACCCACCCTTCTCCTTTTGTCTTTGAAGGCAAGAATGTCTAGGCTTCCTAGTTATATTACTGCTGGTGGGGTGGGACTGTCAACCAGTGTAACCCTGGTTCTGGGCTGCCCAGACTCAGACCCATATAGTGTTTCAGGGCTCAGTCCTCCCCAGCTCCAGTGCTGCTGTGACAAAGGCTCGGTAACTATCCTGATGAAGAGAGATACGAAGAATCAGCTTTGGGGGGCAGTTAATCAATCCTACCTCAAATCACGTACAGCCAAAACACAAATTTAAACGCCAAAAACCTCTTACACACAAACTAACCTAGCCATCTCACTTAGGAAAACTGGTTTTCAAATAATCATTTCGAAAAATATTTTCTATTTAATTTGCACTTAACACTTACACAGAGTCACAAATGTCATAATTAAAATCTGTGTTCCTGATCCTAGAAAGACTGATAACAGCATCCCTTTTCTTGGAGGACGGAATATATCACCATGAACTAGTTTCCAGCCAAATTCTTCCTGGGCATCCTCCTAAAAAGAAAATGAAATCATTTGTCATGTCACCAAGAAAACGACCTAGTTTATTCACTGATACAGAAACATTAAAAAAAACTTACAAATGTTAATATTTATTTCAATTTTGAAGCATAAAACTTGCATAAAGCTTTATGGTTTTCTTGAACTATTTTTAAAGGAATGCTATGTGTTAAAGTCTGTAAGCATAATTATAGAGAAATCTGGAAGGAAATACAAAGATAACTGAGTGATACCTACACCTAGTTCTAGTCTAAAGCTTTATGATCCAGCTTAATGTCCAAATTTTTAATCATACTCTACCCTTTTCAACATACATTCATTAATTTCCAAAGTAAATTAGGTCTCATGGCCATTTTGCTGGTACAAAACACTTTCACATACACTGGGAATGAGAGGCTAACTGGTCATTTATGAAGAATGTACAAATTGAAGTTTTATTAAAAGTACAAGGGCTGTAAGTGAGTAAATAAAATTATATCTGGGGTTGGCTTCAAAATAATTGAAGTGTGGGGGGGATAGGTGCAATTCTGTAGATAAAACTGAACATGAGTTGGTAACTACTGCACCAAAGTGATGGGCATACTAATCTCCTTGCTAGTAGAAATGTGTTGAAAGTATAGGGGAAAAAGTATATGCATCCCTTCTTTTAGGCGAGGCAATATATTAAGTAGATAAGGAACCATTTCTGATTATTTTTCTATTAAGTATACTAAAACATTCAAAGAATGTAAGAAAATGAAGTTTCCATTAGAAAAACAGGTCTCAGAAAACTGTACTTGAACAATAATTAATTAAAAAAAAAAAAGAAAGAAAACCAGGTCTCCTCTCTTGAAGCAAACAAATGTGCCTAGTTTCTTATTATCCTCACAGAGATATTCTACCTACATATAAGCAAATGCATGAATACTCCCCCCAAAAAATGGCAGCACATTATATACCATACTTTATACCTTATCTTTTTAGCCTAATGATATCATGGAGATACTTCCACATCTGTATATAGTTGCTGCATTCTTTTTAATGATTATGTAGTATCCCACTATATGAATATTCCATAACTAAAATCTTCTATTATGAACATATTAGGAACACAGCTTTATTGTTTAAGATAAAAAATAACAATAATAGTAAAATCCTTTGTATCCAGATCAGTTTCTAGAAATGGAATTGTTGGATCAAACTATATTAGAAACAAATATCGCCAAACTGCCTTCCCTAAGTTGTAACAATTTTCATTCTCATAAACTAGGTATCGAAATATTCTTGCCCTCAATGCCCCGACACATTGTTACATCGAGCATTTTAATTTCGGCCAATGTACCAGGTGAACGATCTTGCACTGCAGTTTTCATTTGCATTTCTCTTACTTAGGAATGATGTATCTTTTTATATGTTTCGGAACCACTGGTATTTCTTTTTTATAAACTTTTTTCATTTTCATGTATCTTGCCTCACTTCTTACTGAATGGTTGACTATTTTCTTAATGACTTTAGGACTTTTTTATTCACCGAGAAGTTAAACAATTCGTATGTGACAGGTATTAAAATATTTTCACATTTAACATTTATCTTTTTATTTAATAGGATTTTTTGCTAGTCAGATTTTTTAAATGTAGCAATCATTTCTTTTATGGCTCCTGGCTCTCTGCCATGCTTACAAAACTCTAGCCTGCTCAAAGATTTAAAAATAACTTCCTATGTGTTCTACTATTTCACAGATTCACAATGTCATTTCAATCATTATTTAAACATAAGGAATAAAGTTAATTTCTACTTTATTTTTCCCCAGATAGCCACTCACTTTATCAAATAGTATGTATCCACTCTTTTTTCAATATATTTCTGTTAATCTCTAATTTTAGACTCATTATTGTTCTACATACACAAAAAATGTTTTCTTGAAATTTTTTGGTTTACCAATCCTTTTAAATTCTCTTTAGGACTGGTTTTTATTTATTATTATTATTTGTTTCCTGCTAAAGTACTTCTATAGCAATTCTTTCAGTGAAGGCTTGTTTGTGGTCAACTGTTTTATTAACTTTAAATAAGTATTTCACCTTTATTTTTAAAAGACAGCTTCTCTGGATATGTGATTCCATGTAAATAGTTACTTTCTCTCAGCAATTTAAAGATATTATTTTGTTTTTGAGCTTCTATTTCTAATTTGTTTATTCTCTGCAGATGCTCAAATCTTTTCTTCCTCTGGCTGATTTTTGTCACAGTTGATCTAGATGTGGATTTCTTTTTATTTATTCTGCTTGAAATACATTGTTTCCTTTATCTACGAATTCTTATCTTTCATCTGTTCTGTAAAACTCCTCGCTATTGTATTTTCATATATTTTATACCCTGTAACTAATAGTTATAATATATGATATCTTGGCAGGAAGGGGTTAAATCTGCTGTTTATTGTAAACTTTTTTTTTGTGGATTTCTGCTAATAGACCATTTCATTGATCTTAAATTACAGGAATCTTGCAACTTAATTTAAGAAACTTTCCTTCAGTCAATTTCTACTTGAATCTGCCAAGAATCAGAAGGCATTTACAAAGCAGAATCATTTTGCTCCCTGTCAAGAATCTAGGCTTAACAGAGGAAGAATGTGAGGTTCAGCTCCCTCACTAATGATCTAAGAGTTAGTCTCTCAATTGGTTGAAGACTTTATATAAGCATTGACATAAAAGAGAATTTTAACCTCTCATGCTTGTGTTGTTTCCTGTTCTGATCTCAGCTCACTTTTTTTGACAGGTGTGTGTGGGGGGAGGTCCTTGGATACATTTCTTACCTATCCCGAGCTCAGCATTGCACCAACAAGTCTGGCACATAAAGGGCTAACTTGTTTCTTCATTTATTCATTCAATAAATCGTTATCTAGCACTAATTATATGCTAAGCACTGTCCAAAACACCAGTGATACCACAGTAATTATAACAGAAAAATCTCTTTTCATGAGTATGTCTTCTCTTTAGGAAGGCAAAAAAAAAAAAACCCAAGTAAATAAAATATGCAGTACATTAGATGGTGTTTAAGTGCTACTGAAAAAATTAAGAAGTATGAATGTGTATGTGGAGCAGAGAACATGTTATTTTAATGGAATGGTCAGGAAGATTTCACTGGGAAGATCGTGTTTTAGTAAAGACATGAAAGAACCAAGGGCGCTACCGTGTAATATTTGAGGGATGAACATTTGAAGTAGAGTAAAAAAACAAGTTTAAAGGCCTTGAGGTGGGAACATGTTTAATTATGTCTGAGGAATAGCAAGGTGGCCAGTATGGCTGGTGCAGAGGTCCAACAAGTACTGCAAGACCTTTTAAACCACTGTAAAGACTCTGGTTTTCACTCTGAGCAAAACAGAAAACCACTGGAGGGTGGTGATTGGGAATGAAATGATCTGATTTATGTTTGAACAGATTTCCTCTGACCAGTAGGAAACTGAACGGAGGCAAGAAATGGTAACAACAATGGAGAAAGGGTTACCATGACACACATCCTATGGCACGCTCTGATTCAATTAAGAAAAATGCCACTAACCCAGTGATAATTTAGAAATGCCAATTATGAAGAGTACCCTGAAATTATTTTCATAAAATACTTAATAAAACGATTAATAAAAATCACGACAATGGATTATAGAGTAGAAGTGCTAAGAAGCTTATAAACATTCACATGTTCTTTTTCTTGTCCTGACTGGTGTGGCTCAAAAGGTTGGGCTTCACGCCCCCATGCCAAAGGTCATCAGTTCGATCCTTGGTTTGGGCACGTGCCTGATTCCATCCCCAGATGGGGTGGGTCCTGTCCCCATATGGGGTGTGCCTGAGAGGCACTGATCAATGTTTGTCTCCCTCTTTCCCCTTCACTTCCCCTCTCTCTAAAAAAGTAAATAAAAATAAATAAATAAAAATATTCTTTTTCTAATTAGAAGGCAGAAAGGTTGAGGGGGAAAGGCTAAGAAGATGGGGAAGAGAAAACAATAGAAATCTGAGCCTTTTTTTTGTATTTCTGACAAGTCATTGTGGTTCTTGGGGAAATTTTGTTAAAGAGCTGCTGTGAAATGAAAAGGTACAAAATGTATTAACATTATGCAACTTAAAATGTTTGAGGATGCGCGATACTGGGACATTAAATTATTTTGAATATACCAAAAGGTTGAAATGATAAAAATTCAGTTAAAATTAATTTTTAAAAATTAAATATACATACAAACAAAAATTGTTTGGGAGTTATTCCACTTGACTTTGCTATTTTGCCCACTGGACTGTACAATGGGAATGGAGAATCTAAAAGAGTTGACAGCATGTACATGAAAAAAGATAACAGAACTAGAGCTGTGCACCTATACCCATTCTGCACCAATCTACTGCCACAGATGAGGGTGTGAATAGTTCAGTTCTAAATGCTGTGGTGACTTTCTAGAGACTACCAATTCTTAAAAATCATTTTCCTATCTGAAAATGTGAATCCAGGATAACTTTTGAGAAGAATGTTTTAAGAGCACATTCTATCTAAAGCTATTATTTAAACCCTTTCCATATCAGGGAGGACCACTCTGTAAAGTACATAATTGTCCACTATGTTGTATACCTATAATTAATGCAAAATAACACTGAATATAAACTGTAATTGAAAAATTAATAAAAAAACCTTCCAAAGAAAATATAAAGACTATGCTTGGAAGAGTGAAGAACAGTTCAAATGTTTCACTCACTGTAGAATCCATCTGATTATATCTGGCAATATCTTTATGCAGCGTCCGTAGCATAATCATAGCGACCATTCCAGACAAGAAAAGGACAATGACCAGGGAATTCATAATGCTGTAGAAATAAGCATGTCAGGATTAATCTGTAGCTTAACCTTTGGAACAGTGAAACTCATTTTTAAATTGTTTATTGAGTAACATTAAAACAGCATTTTTCAAAATCAAAATTTTACCTAAAATTCAACAAATTCAATGAACTGCTATGTTCTGCTATGTATCCTTCTAGTGGACACTTTATATATTTATATTACAGTTTTGTGGTTTGTTGAGAACTAGAATTCTTTTTTGTACATGGTCAACATTATTAAATAACTACTGTGACCACATCAGTGCAAATCAAGCAGCAAGAATCAATGAAGGGCTGATCTTTATCTCAAGAAATTTACTGAAGAACAAATTTATTCAGTAAATTAAAGAATATCAAAGGACAGTTGGCAAAGTATGAAAAGGAGAGTAATAGCATCATGAAACAACTTTCTGAATAAAAGTTTGAAGAGGGAATAATAATAAATAGTCATAACATTAACAGTGGCTTGTTTATTGTGCACTCTTCCTTTCTAGGTAAAGTGCTCAAATACTCTGTTCCATTACCTCCTTTAATCAGAACAGCCACACAAGGCAGTTATTTCTAGATAAAGAAATGCACTGTGTAAAATTGAGTGATGTGGCCTGACTCATAACCAGTAACTTAAATCCAGGATTGAACCCATTTGATTAAAAAAGTTAGACTTTTGAATAACTGAGGAGTAGAGAGTCCATCAGATGTTTAAAGGCACAAAGAGTAGAATAAGTACAAATAATAAAAAGCAGATTAATCTATAATCTTACCTAAACCACTGAATGTGGGTATGAGGCATAGATTCCAGAATATAGTCCCATCTAGATGCCCACCTGATATTTTTATCTTCCTACAGACAAAACAAAACTCTTTAAATAAGCATTTCCTGACAAAGTATATTAAGAATCCCAAAATTTCCATTCTTAGCCTGGCCTTCCATTAGTCAAAAAATGCACTTTCTCCTTATCAGAACTTGGGTTAGCCATGAGATTCAGGGAGTTCCAATCTGCACAAGTCTCAGTAAAATCAGTGAGATTAAATAGTAAATAAAAAATAAAAGTTCCTAAAGGTACTAGTCACTTGCATTTTTTTTTAAATCTTGCTTTGAATTTTAAATAGTAAAGGTTATTTCAGATGCCAAAAGTTAGGATTATATTTAATTTTTTCAGAAAACTGAGTGGAATAACTTACTTGCTTTGACACCATCTATCTACGCCTCTGAGACACATAACTAGGCCAGAGTCATTACCTGGGTACGCTGAACATCTTGCAGGTGAACCCCCACTGAGCTTTTAATACCCAGAAAGAAAGATATATTGTGTACTGCTCTAAGTGTACAAAATTGCACACCACATAGGGATAGTAAGTGTCACAACTATAATGGATTGCAAAAATAGTTGATTAAAAATAGAGGTGAAATATTGCCTAAGATCCTCATAAAATAAACTTCTACTTTCATCTTAAAAAACTTCACCATTAATAAAAACCATTCCTTGAATTCCCTAAGAACTTATATAAATCATCTACCACCAGGAAACTCTCCATTAAGTTTATAGTCAAACTCAGATTTTAAAAATAGTATTGGTTTCCCAAATGCTTGTAGCATGTATCTTTGGCAACTTCACACCATCTTCTATGCCTATTTGTCTTATATGTATCTCTTATGACTTCACACTTAGTCAGGTTCAATTCTCTAAGCTCCTATCCTTCTCATTTAAATGAAAGTTTAGTTTCCTGTGATTAATTCTACTGCCTCATGAACTGACAAACTATTCCAAAAATCAGCCTATTAAAAGCTTATCTATTTGACAAACTTAATCATATTTTAATTAGCTTAAGTAGTATGAGTTCAAAATCAATTTCTGAGTTATACTAAGAGTAAAAACAAACTCACCTCAAAGCTAACAGAATAAGTATAGGCAATTTTAATCTCCCCAGAAGCCTGGTTACTTATATCCATGGGGGGTCCAGAGCAGTCTGGTTTATCTGTATGGGTATGTTTGAAACTGTGGGAAGAAACATTTTGGCAAGATGCTGATGAAGTAAAGTTTTTAAAAAATGGGGTAAAGTAAAGGTTAGAGATTTTGTACATATTTCACAATTCTGCTGATAATCAAATGTGAAATTATTCATGTCACATTTAAGAGTACAAACATTTAGCCCTGGCTGGTGTAGCTTAGTGGATTGAGCGCGAGCTCCCAGCAGGGGACTCACAAGAGGCAACCATACATTGATATTTCTCTCCCTCTCTCCTTCCCTTCCCCTCTAAAGATAAATAAATAAAATCTTAAAAAAAAAAAAAAGAGTACAAACATTTACTTCATGCAAATAATGGGCTTAGTTATAAGAATCTGTACAAATTATTATTCAAAATTAGAAACATACTTCTAAAACACTATACTTGGAAAGCTTTAAATAATCTTTAAAAATTTAAACAAACACTGGGACAGTTTAAATTAATTGTCATGCATTTCTTTGCCACCAGTGAAAATGGCTAACTCAACTGGCCAGCAGGTGGGGTTGTGCATCATGGAAAAAAATGTTTTTCGTGGTTGTGTATCAATGCTTTTCCATTGTACAAGAGAACTCTGTTCCATTCCAAGCTGACATGGAAAAGTTGTCAAAACTTCCTGACTAAAAAACAAACCAAAAAGGCACCTTGGCTCAACTACTTTACCAGACAGGAAAAAAAACCTATAACTCAGCAACAAATTATGCTAAAGGGACTTTTAGTAAAATCAGTCCTGAAATGCCAGATTATATGCTAAACTAGTGATTAAGGAAAAAGTTAATTAGCCCCGAACTATTTATTCTTTGGGTTTAAATTTCACTTATATTTATCTAATTTTTATGTTTATAAGTTAGTTACCTTTTAGGTTCAAGTTTAGCAGCCACTAATCTTGCTCCCATGGACCCTGTTTCAACAACATGGTAGTATATTTTGATGTCAACATGGTTGAAGATGTAAAATGTATCTCTTTCATGGAATTCTGACTGTGAAACAGAACTTAAAATTAAAAGTAGAAAACTGGCTATATATGATCAAAACATTAAAAAACTTTACAGTGAGTCACAATAAGTAGGAAAATTTACACTAGGGAAGGATTTTAATCCTTCCCAATAAAAATATTCAAGTTTTAAGCTTAAACTCTCTATAAATGAAAACTAATTGGCAGAGATACAAATTGCACTTCTTTAGTGCTTTAATTCTTACATAATTTATTAAGTGCTTGTTAAAAAAGAATACATCTAATATTTTCTAGCTTTTCACCACAATATAATTAGCAAAATGAATTTTAAAATATTATATTATGAGCATCCAATAACCTAAGTTATTCCTGTGTCCCTGGTCAACACTCAAAAAAGCATTAATATAATGCAATTTCAGAATCAAGCTCATGCTAACTTCTACCAAGTCACTAAGAGATTAAATCAGGGTGACCCAGTCACATAAAATTAAATTTAATATAAATCTCAATTATTTTCATTACTAGCTATATTAATGTCTTCACTTTATTATTCTGTTTTAAAGTATAAAATAATGGCCTCAAAGACAGATACCCTTTTTTAAAAGTATAAAACCAAACTTTTACAATACAATATTTTATAGACTTAAATTTTCAATACAAACGTCATGGACTTACAGTGAGGTATTTTTGGCACTGTACTATCTACATATTTTTATATATAAGATATATGAATCTAACTTTTGAAAGAATCAGAACATAAAAAGTCCTAGCCCTTAGTTAGCATAGTGCTTAGCATATATCAGACACTCTCAGTAAAATGATGAATTCAATCTGAATTATTTTTGTTCTAGAGTTAAATCTGTACACTGTTAATCTGACTTAGGTTAAGATCTATGTAGCTGTACTTTTCAAAACATCTGAGTTGCATTCATTTGATGAGTATGACAATTTCTGTCTGGTAAAGACTGAGTCTTTCTACCAAGAAGCCATATTTTGAAGAGAAGCATAGAGTTTATCACAAACTTACACTGATAACACAGGCATCTTTAGCACGGCCTTTATCTGTAATGTAACAGCCGATAGGAAATCCAGGATTACAGAACCTCTGACTGTCTTCAACATCATAACACCATGTTACAGGCATATTATCCACAATCCTACATGCAGAAATAAAAATCAAGTTAGAAATCACTAAAAATAAACGAGAATTACTGCCCAAACATGTCATCACTTCATAAAATTTAAATGTCTATAAATACCTTAAAATGGCAAACTACAAAGAATTTTAATAAAATGTGGTATTTCACAAGTAATAGCATTATGCTAATATCTGATACACTGTAGTAAAGAAAAAACTTTACAGCTGAAACTATAAATGCATGTAGGAAACAAAGTTTAGTTAATTAATTTATTGAAACTGCTAATTTAACAATATCATTATCTAGACACCTGAGTAGATTTTATCATTAGCAGAACATTCAAAAGCTCTAAAATAGGTGCAAAGCAATATATCTGGTACCTCGGGAAAAATTTATACAACAGTATAGAAGTAAATGTCATTTATTACTCAGGCAATTCAATAAAAAGGAGAATATAATTGCAGAATATGGGAAAATATCCAATGTAAGGGCCAGGTCAAAAAGTGAAAATTATAGTATTATCTACTAAAATTGTGTAAATCCAACTTATATCTAAAAAAATACTGCAATAAAACTAAAGAAACAAATCTTACCAATTCTATAGTAAAAAAAAAAACACCTTTAAAACAAGAAAGGATAAAAGTAAAGAATAAAGTTCTGTAGCACTGTATAAAGTCCAAGCATGTGGTCTCCTATGACCAGAGCACACTGCAGGATACAAATAAAAAAATTACTAAAAATATACTATCTGCATTACAGTCAGAAGATAACACTCCAGGGCATGTTTTATTTGTTAATTAATGTATGCCTTAGGAAGTAAAATTATGATTTTATATTCCCTGAAGGTGAACATTAATGACCTAATAAAACATGTCTTGTCACATTTAAATGCTATTTAATAGTACCTAATGTACCTAGTGTTAGAATCACCTATACTATTAAATCGCTTATTATTGTAACCAGCAGGCTAATGGTTTCCATGAAATAACTGTAAGATATTAGAAGCATTAAAGCAATGCTCTATAATGTAAATAATTCAGATTTTCTGGAGGCCTAACAAATTTGGTTAATTGCTTTAATTTTCTAGAGGATGAGCTTTGATCAATGAACATATACTATCAACATATTAAATATATTTATGCTATCATATCAGAGAAAGTACTACATAAAACTTATAGTGATAGTTACGGAATGAGAAACTAAGTGGCAATTTAGGTTTTTTAAAAAGCAAGCATCCTACATTTATCATTTATTTGATGACTTGACACAATAAACCTTTTCCTGGTAATAAAAAGAATGAAAACAAACAAACCAATAAACCCCTAGAATAAATGTACAAAAGTTTAAAGAACATAATTTTCAATTGTTGCTTTGCTTGCTAAATGAGGGAGTAGTAGTTGTTTGAATTTATAAAACAAAAAATACTAATACTAATTTTCAATGTGATATAGTGAGAAAAAGAGTGTAAGTAGAGGACTCAAAAAGATAAAGGTTGAATGACTAGCCCCAGGTTTTTACCATTAAGGACTCCTTTCCATTATTTTCCTCTACCCTCCATGGATTCCATTTGAAAAGACTTCTATCAATCAAACTATTTATTAATAACTCACTTTCCCACTAAATTAAATTCCCAGAATTTCTGATTAGAATAACCCATGTTGCTAAAAGACGCTCAGGAAATTGCAACCAAAAGCAAAGAAAAGCTGGCACCTAAGTTATTCTATGTAGCTTTAACCTAAGTAAATTTACATCATCTGTTAGGATTTTGAATTGTTAAAAATAGCACATCATCCCCCTTTGCTTGTTTGGTGGGATTCACAATTGGGATTCACTAGATTAAAAATCTTCAAAAGCTCTGACCAGTGTGGTTCGGTTGGTTGGAGCGTTGGCCTTTAAACCAAAGGGTCAAAGGTTCAATTCTTGGTCAGGGCACATACTTAGGTGGCAGATTCAGTCCCTGGTCAGGAGCTTACAAGAGGCAACCAATTGATGTTTCTCTCCCTCCCTTCCCCATTCTCTTAAAAAAAAAAAATCACTAACCACGTCCTTGGGTAAGGATTTAAAAAAGAAATCTTCAAAGACTCTTTTCTGTCAAAGAAGCTATGGCCCAGTAATTCTATGATACTAAGAAAATTTAAGGGGTCTGATAACTAGTCAAAGAATTATACTTTTATAAACTGTCACAAAGATTTGGAAACAAAGGCAAGAAAAATAATCAGAAGCCATGTAGAACAGCAGTCTGGTGCCCAACTTTTTCAGCATCAGGGACTGGTTTTGTGGAAGACAGTGGGCTCAGGTGAGCTTCACTGGCTTGTCCCTCACCTGCTGTGGATGAGTGGGGGGAGGGGGCTGCAGGGCAACAGGAGGCAGAGCTCAGGGGAGCTTAGGTTCCTAACAGGCCTGGTTTCTAACAGGCTGTGGACCAAAAGCATCTGGTGCTGGTATCAATACACTAGTCAGCAGTACCAAATCGAGAAGTAACTTAGATTACTGACAGAGTAAGCCAGGAAGTTCCTCAAATTATGTTCTAAAGTTGCAAATAATAATTAAAAGCATTCATCAACTTAGATTTAAAAAAATTAACTATTAGGCTGGTGTAGCTTAGTAGATTGAGCACCGGTCTGTGAACCAAAGGGTGGCTAGTTCAATTCCAAGTCAGGGCACATGCCTGGGCTATGAGCCAGGGCCCCATTAGGGGGTGCACGAGAGGCAACCACACTGATGTTTCTCTCCCTCTTTTTTCTCCCTCCTTCTCCTCTCTAAAAATAAATAAATAAATCCTTTAAAAGTTAACTATTATATTTTTATTTTCTATCTATTCTCTAAGATGATAATAAGTTGGTACCTTAACTAATACTCAGTCATTTTAATGATCCAAAAGATAGTATGGTTAAAATAAGGAAAAATTATGGTACATTCATGCCATGCAATGCTATATAATCATGAAAAGAATGAGGTAGATATTTATCTACAGATGTGTTTTACATGAAAAAATGCCAATATTTTCTTAAATAAATGAGCAAGTTGCAGAATAATGTGTATAATATTTTGATTGCATTATTAAAAAAATGTACACACCTTTTCATATACCTGCATATGTATAGAAAACCTGGAAAATACATAGAACACTACTCTTTTAGGTCTTTCATTTTATTTTTATTTTTAAGATTTTATTTGTTTTTAGAGAGAGGGAAAGAGAAACAGTAGGACAGAAACATCAATGTGCGGTTGCCTCTCTTGCACATTCCCTACTGGGGGTCTGGCATGCAACATAGGCATGTGCCGTGACTGGGAATTGAACCAGCGACCCTTTGGTTCACAGACTGGCACTCAATCCACTGAGCCACACCAGCCAGGGCATATTTTAAAGGTTAATGCTTTTTTATCTCTATCAACTCTGTCATCTATGCTCAAAATCAAGTTATACGGTAAAAACTTTCTGAAATAAGTCAAAGACAGAAATATACTCAACTCAGAGTTCAAATAAATTCATCAAAGTGAATCAACACTTTCCAAAGTTTATAATGAACTGATTTAAGGACTACAGCCCACTGCCTAGAACTACCAGACTGTGTATTTGTGATATGGCTTAGATTTGTTTTTTTGTTAATGGATTCAGAATTAATCATGAACTTTTCAAAGTCAACTACAAAATCATTATTCATCAGCATTCTTCCAGTTTATATTTCGGGAAGAATAGTTTAAGTTTGTAACCGACACACCTATCAAATTGTTTAATAAACTAATGCTTTCTAAGTTTGTAAGCTATTTCAAATTACTCATTTTTTGTTATTAAGCATCTTGGCATCAAAATAGTACCTATTCTAACTGCACCATAAATTAGTTAAAAATATTTCTAAAGACTTCCGCCAAGATGGAGGCGTAGGTGGAAGCACTGCGCCTTCTCACACAATCAAGTTTAAAAACAACAAATTTTAGCAACAAAAACGCAGCCAAACCACAGAATATTGAACTACACGGAAGTCTAACAACAAAGAACTCTTCAGCCAAACTGGTAAGAGAGGCAGAGCCAGCAGCAGAGCAGGGTTGGGCAGGAAGATCCACCAGACCAACCCCGGGGAGAAACTCGGGTGTGCAACCCAGGCGCACAACCCAGGTGCGCCGGCAGCCATAGGCGGATCCCAGGTGTGGAGTAGTGGGCGGACCCACTGAGGGCACAAGGCGGTAGACTCACTGAGGGCTGACCACAGTCACACATTCTAGCGCAGATAAACCGGTGAAGGAGCGAAGTGGTGAGACAGACCATGCAGGCCCCAGTGGTGGAAAGTGGCACAGGGGACCACCATTGTCCCTCTCTGAGCCCGCCCCCATATACAGAGTCACAAACCAGCAACCTGGGTGGCCTCTCTCTGACCTGCCCCCATATACAGGGTCACAAACCAGCGACCTGGGTGGCCCCGCCCTGGTGAACACCTCCTCGTTCGTAACAGGCACAAACAGATCAAAACATGCCTCAAGAACAACTCAGAGCCCCTGAGCCGATAAATCTAAGCGATGAAGAAATAGCCAAACTGTCAGGTGCACAGTTCAAAACACTGGTGATCAGGATGCTCACAGAACTGGTTGATTATAGTCACAAATTAGAGGAACATATGGAAGCTAAACTAACTGAACTGAATGGAAATGCACAGGAAACCAATAGTAATGGAAAGGAAACTGGGACTCACATCAAAGGAATGGACCAGAAAGAGAAAAAAAATGACCAAACAGAAAAGGATGAAGAAACAAGAATTCAAAAAAATGAGGAGAGGCTTAGGAACCTCCAGGACATCTTTAAACGTTCCAACATTCGAATTACAGGAGTACCAGAAGGGGAAGAGGAACAGTCACGAGTGGAAACCTTATTTGAACAAATAAAAAGGAGAACTTCCCCAATCTGGCAAAGGAAATAGACTTCCAGGATATCCAGGAAGCTCAGAGAGTCCCAAGGAAGTTGGACCCAAGAAGGAACACACCAAGGCACATCATCATTACATTACACAAGACTAAAATGAAGAAGAGACTCCTAGAAGCAGCAAGAGATAAGGGGACAGTCACCTACAAAGAAGTTCCCATCAGACTGTCAGCAGATTTCTCAAAAGAGACCTTACAGGCAAGAACGGGCTGAAAAGAAGTATTCCAAGTCATGAAATCCAAAGACCTACACCCAAGATAGCTCTATCCAGCAAAGCTTTCATTTAGAATGGAAGGGCAGATAAAGTGCTTCTCAGATAAGATCAAATTCAAGGAGTTCATCATCACCAAGCCCTTATTATATGAAATGTTAAAGGGACTTATCTAAGAAGAAGAAGATAAAAAATATGAACAGTGAAAGGACAGCAAACTCACAGTTATTAACAACCACACCTAAAAGAAAAGCAAACTAAGAGGACAGGTAGATCAGGAGCAGAACCATAGAAATGAAGATCACATGGAGGGTTAGCAACAGGGGAGTGGGAGAAGGAGAAGGGGGGAGAAGGTATAGCGAATAAGTAGCATAGATGGTAGGTAGAAAATAGAGAGGGGGGAGGGCAAGAATCATATGGGAAATATAGAATCTAAAGAACTTGAGGACACATGGATATGAACTAAAGGAAGGGAGTGGGGGGAGTGGGTGTACAGGGTGGAGGGGAGTAAAGGGGGGAATAGAACTGTAATGGCATAATCAATAAAATATATAAAATATATAAAAATATTTCTAAGTACTTCACTGTGAGGAAGTTACTAAAGAGCTGCTTCTATTAACATGAAGAACAAGAATCTATCTAAACAGTACTCTAAGAAAGGATAGGAGGGATGGCTGAAAATCACCTGCAGGCCTTAAGGGTTATTTTTTCATTTGATCAACAAATGAGCAGCTGTTAGAGAAAATGGAAGTGAATGGGACTAATATGTAAATGCAAGAACTGAGTCTTAAATCTGATTTTGAAGGTTGTAAGGAAGGATTTGAAGCAAGGAGAAAACAAGGGAAATTTCAATTACTTATGAATAAACAAATGTATCCCAAGTTATATCAAATGAGCAATTAAGTAATATTCTCATAGTAGCTAGAGGAAAAAGCTCTTAACAGAAACTAAAGAAATGAGATAGAAGAAACTTTCAAGTTCCTGTTTGTACTAAGGGTCACATAAGAAAAAAGGTGACACAAGCACAATGTGCAAGTTTCCTTCCTTCTAACAGAACTCTCCTATGAGAAACTCATTTCTGTGTGGTTTGGGTGTGTACTAGCCAGGGAATCAGAGTGACTCCCCCTAATCACAGATCAAAGGTGTTCACAGACATGAATGGATATCTGACCAAAGGTGGCCCCTCTCTATGACTTTTTTGATCTATGTATATGGAAAAGGAGGAGGGAAAAGAACTGAGGGGGCAAAAGGAGATGAGTTATTCCAATCATATTATTTAAGCCACAAGATCTGGTCACGTCCAAACAGATCTATGGTTCCTAACCTCTCTGAGTGTGGGCAAATGAGTCAATCTTAGATACTGATGGGACAGACATTCAAGAAGTTCATGAAGATAGTCATCCTGTTCACCAGCTGCAGCACCTTATACTTTTTAGAAGAGGCAAAACACATAAACAACAAACCCACATATAATAGAGACATCTGTTGGCAAACATACAGAAGAATAACAACTGTTGTTATTTGAAAAGTTGGGTTTTGATAGTTTGTATACTGTATAATAAGTAAATACTACTATGGAAGCAGAAATGCTTTTTAAATGCTTTTGATTATAACATAAACTGGTAAAAATCTTGTTAATATTATACCATGTTTATGATATAAAAAACAGTATACATAAAATAGAAATATTTTATTTGAAGTAGATGCTATTTATCAAACATCAAACAAAAGTTAAATTTGGTTTTCCAATGGTCTTTCTCATGGTGTACAAATACAAAATAACAGTATTTTTCTAGAAGACCGATCCAGGTACTTTCCCCAAGGCATATATATGTTCCTGTTAACTATATATGAAAAAAAAGAAGTGCTCTATGTATCAAAACAAGTACCAGACATTAAAGTAACCTAAGCACATTAAGAGAAACTACTTCAAGCTGTCAACCTCAGCAATCCTCTTTCAAGAAAAAGTCACTCTTTCATGTTTCTAATAATAACAAAAAAGTAAATCAACTAATATGTTATACTTTACAGAGTCAATGAAATAATTTATACATTCAGTGAAACATGGTTTCATCTTGAAAAGGGAGAAGTCAAAAATCCCAAATCTCCATATCTTACCAGTGATGTTGATAATTCAATAGCATGCTTTTTTTCAAGAATTCTAACTTTTGTTTATCTTCAGCTTTCTCTGTATGGTATACTTTTGTACAAACAAGTTTACAGGTCTCCTTCTTATTAAATGTAAACTGTATTAAAAGAAAGTAGAAAGCAAATTAAGCAAAAATATCCAGAGTTAAAATACTGGTCTCATTAATTACTTAAGTGTATTAATATTGACAATGACATTTAAAAATTTGTCATAGCTCAAATCAAATTTGTCAATCAAACTTGAAGTCACTGTTTCTCTAAAACCTTATCATCTAACCAATATTACCCCAATAAATGCAACAAAAAATTTTTAATTAAAAAATTATCATCTTCCTTTAGATAAGTAACAGTTCTTATTTTTTTTTGAGTACTTCAGTCAACCTACCTTCTAAATGTAAATGAGTCCTAGAAGGCAAACAAACAAAACCTACATGCAGAATAAAATAGAACATCAGTTTCTCTATAGTAATGTCTCCCAACAATGTTTTAGAAATTATGGACTTGAAGGCTTTCTATTATAGTAATAAGCAGACAAGTGTTTATGTACCTATATTCGTCATGTGGATATATGTTTAGTGTTCCCTCCAGCCAGGCAATGGAGATTCAACAATGAATAATATAAACTGTGATGTTACAAGTCAAATTTGGATGTCTAAAATCAGGATAAACATGGTTTTTTTACTCACATTTGAAATAATTTGTTGATTTTTGGGATCTAAAGTTGAAACAAAAATTGATTTACTAATCAATTTACTAATAGAGTTGAAACGAAAATTGATTAACTTTTTAAACCAAAGTTTAAAAAACCCATTAAGGATGAATCCAATTTTAGAGTTTAGGATTTATTTCATGTGTGTAAAAATAATGATATTCACAACATTTATATATGTAGTGAATATATATAACATATATATAATTATATAATGTATAATTTATCAAGATTCATTTAGGTCTTAACTTAAAAAATATATTTCTGAGAGGGGAGAGAATTTCAGAGGAAAAGCGGAAGGATTCACAGGAACAAGTATAAAGAACACATGGACAAAAACTAAGGTTGGGGGGAAATGGGAGGGAGGTGGGGAGCACTGCGGGGGTGGGCTGGGATGTGAGTAAAAGAGAACTGTACTTGAACAATAAATAAATAAATTTAAAAAAGAAAAAATACATATTTCCTAGTATTCTAAAGGCTGTAACTAAAATAACTATATAGAGTTCATAATTGTTTACATTAAAAAAATCTGAACTTCATTACAGGAGTAAAAATCATCTACATATGTTTCACTTCTAAGTAGTCCATCTTTTTATATATAACTTATTAAAATCCCTACACCAGTTTCTGTGCAACTACTGACAAGCTTTTCCACTGGGGCCCACTGCTGCCATTTATCAGCCAAGAGTTTCATTCTGGTTGCATTACAGGTTCTGTAAATATACAGTATTTGTGCAATTACTTAATGTTTTTAACCTTATATAAACCTTACAGGTTCCTTTTTAAAGAATGGAAATTAAAAAACAACAGTATACATCATAAGGAAACAGAGGAATAGGTGTCAAACTTAAATTAAGCAGAAACAGACATTGTAAATTATGCCAAAAGTGGCATATCTTATACCTCAATCCAGTGCTCACTGGGTTTAGGTAAGTCAATTGTGTGTTTAATTGTGAAGGAAAATAACAAATCCAAAGATGACATTTAGTTATGATAATTAACACTTATTTATTATCTCACATAATCTTCCCAACGATCCTAAGAGATAGTTTCTTTATTTAATCCTCATCATCCTGACCTATTAACACAGAGTACTCCAAGGCTCAGTACTTGTAATTCTTCTCTTCACTATCTATACCCACTCTTTTGGGGATCTCATCAATTCCTGGTTTTAAATACCATCTATACACTGATACTAGGCTGAGCCCCTCCTCCAAACTCCAGATACATATATTCAACTGTTATCTCAACATCCCTACTCGATGCCTAATGTACGTATACTTCATACTTACTATGTTCAAAACTCTTTCCCTTCCCCTCACACCTGCTCATTCCACGGGCTTTCCCATGTTAGAAAACAGAAACTCCAACACCCACCCCCCCATCCCATTCCTCAGCAAATTCTGGTGGACTTACCTTCAAAGTATAGCCAATTTCTGAGATTCTGACCACTTCACAACCCCTACCCCTCTGCATCCATAAGCTGAACCACTATCAGGTCATACATATCTTAATGATTGTGAGAGCCTCCCAAGGTGTCTCCTGGCTTCTCTTCTCTCCCACAATCTATTCTCAACACAACCACTCTAGTGATCCTGTTACATCTCTAAACTGACTCAAAATTCTCCGATGCTAACCATCTCTCTCTGATGTAGAGCCAAAGTCTTTAGAGTGGCCTATGAGCCACTATATGATGTAGTCATATTACTTCTTTGCTGTCATTTCCTATTATTCCCTATCTTGCTCACCTGCTTAAGTTGTACCAACTTTTTCTTTTACCTTCAATACGCAAGGCAAGCTCACATCTGGGGATCTTGGCATCTGCTGCTCGCCTACCTAGAACACCTTCCCCACAGATATTCACATAGCTCACTCCCTTATATGCTTCAGGTTTTTTTGCTCAAATGTCACCTGAGTGAGACCTTCTCTGGCCTATTTAAAATTAAAAATTCTCCAACCACCTTCCTTAATTTATTTCCAATAGTTTTTTTACATGAGCAATTAATATACTATATATTTTAGTAATCCTTTTGTTTATCTCTCACCATTGGGATATAAGATCCACCACAGCAGAGATTTTTGTCTTGTTCACTGCTATATCCCACACCTACCATGGTGCTTGGCACATGAAAGGCATTTAACAGATGGGTCAACTAGTGAACGAGTGAATGAGTGGTTAGACCTGAGAGTTTATGACTTATGAAATGTGGCTACAGCTTCACATACCACATTCAATGTCTTACACTGTTGTTTTCGGACCTCCACTGAAATCATAGATAAAAGATGGCAAGGCAGATTTGGGGTTTTGTTTTGTTACTTGCTATTACCATTGCTTTTACTATAGATTTAAAATAAGGCAAAATTCTTTGAAAATAAAGATGAAAGAATCAATACCACTTGTCTTTAACCTTTGGCATTTTCATTATGATGTCTTGGTGTGAGCCTCTTTGGATTCATCTTGTTTGGGACTCTCTGAGTTTCCTGGGCTTATATGTCTATTTCCTTCACCAAGTTAGGGAAGACAAAGAGAGAATGTTAAAAGCAGCAAAAGAAAATCAGGTAGTTACCTACAAGGGAACTTCCTTAAGACTGCCAGCTGATTTCTCAACAGAAACTCTGCAGATTAGAAGGGACTGGCAAAATATGTTCCAAGTGATGAAAAGCAAGGACCAAGGTAACTCTACCCAGCAAAGCTATCATTTAGAATTGAAGGACAAAGAACTTCCCAGACAAAAAAAAAAAGCTAAAGGAGTTCATTAGCACTAAACCAGTATTGTATGAGACGTTAAAGTGTCTTCTTTAAGAAAAAGATAAAAACTATGAACAATAAAATGGCAATAAACACATATCTATCAACAATTGAATCTAAAAAACTAAAAAACAAGCAACATAGAAACAGAATCACAGATACAAAATACGTTTTGATGGTTGCCAGATAGGAAGGTAGTTGAGGCCACAGGTGAAAAAGGTAAAGGGATTAAGTACAAAATGGTAGTTACAGAAGAGTCATGGTGATGTAAAAGTACAGCACAGAAAATATAGTAGTCAAAAAACTATATAAGGGATGACCCATGGACACAGACAAGTGTGGGAATTGTCTGAGGGAGTGGGGGTAGGCCGGGGGGAAGGGGGCAAAGGGGGAAAATTGGGACAACTGAAGTAGTATAAATAAAATATAATTAATAAAGAATCAATACTAAAGTTAATACTGAATCAACACTGAAAAGATGTAAGTCAACACATTTATAGCTGGCTTGGGGAAAAATCTGATCTCTTAGCCCGATGTTTTGATTTACCTATGCCTTAGTCTTAAGCAATGCCTACTCTGTCTCTTTAAAGACAAGGCTTAAAGAATTTGTTTTAGCACAACCTTGATCTTAAAAAATTCTAGAAAGCTCATGGAAAATGTTAGGTGGATATCTTTCTCCATTTTAAAATACTTCTCTTGATCAATTTTACCTCAATTTCTAGGACAAAACTAAAATGGGATCCCACTAAGTAATCTGCCTTTAAAGTCTGCCCCAAAGGGAAAAAACTTCTCCATGGGTTTGAATATTTTGCTGGTCTTCCATGCTGACTGCTATTAAGGACTGTTTACTACTAGAGACCTGCTGTCACCCAAATTCATTAAAGGTGTTATGAATGTTCTTTCTCCCTTCCATCATTTCTCAAGGCCAAGAGATACTCAGAAAGACAGGGTTGAGGGACCAGAGGACTATTTTTAAATTAACCTTACTACTTAATAAATATGCCTGAAATTTACCTTCTTCTATAAAAGAGAATGAAATGAGTTCTAAAGTAATCTTTGAAAATATCATATCAGGGAGATGTTACACAATTATTATGCTTGTCCTACTCAATATGTGCACACACTTTGAGTTCCATCTTTCCCAGGGACTTCATCCCATTAGGCCTTCAAATCTGTTGTCTTTATAAAATTTTAAAAAGTACTATCATCTTTAGGGTAGAAAATCTTAAATAAGAATATTTTAAGAGGATATATGTATAGTTTAAAACTGTAAACTTACAGTGGATTAAATGTACACAATTATGGGTCTTTTCTCCCAGAGCTTCAGATGTAGGTACAGTGCCAGAGGGAGTTAAGAGGGCCAATGGGATTAATCTAGGCCTGGGGATTTGCTAGACAGATGCTCACAGTAATCAGGTGCCAAGAGAGATAGATGAGGGTGTTTAGTGAGAAAGCAGGGAAGGCAGCTAACCATGGGGTCTAAGCCATAGAAGAGAAGAATGTGAAGCCAAAAGAAGCTGTCAGACTGGTAAATAAAACCTGGGGTCAAGCCAATAAAAGGAGTGCACATTTGAACAGATGCCCAATGTAGAGAATTAAAGGAAAAATGCACTGTGTACAACATCTCTCATTTTTTTTATATGCTTATAAGTGTATGGAAAATGTCAGGAAAGAATAACTGAGAAACTGATGTGAAACTGGGGGAAGAGTGGGATACTTAGTTTTCATTTTATGTTCTTCTGTACTATTTATTTTATTATATGGCAATACGGTGTTATTGTAAACCAACTTACTTTTTCTAAAAGAGACCATTACTCTTTGTGTAGCAGCAGAATAGATATAAAATGAGCTGGGGAATATGAAATGCAGAAGGATAATTGGCTTAAAAGATACTATTATAGATTTAAAGGATAGAATAATTTAGTTTAGATTAGTTTAACTAGTGTCCTAAAAGTATGTCAAAGATGTTCCAAACACACTTTCAATGGTCAAAATACAAAGGTTAGCTTCCCAAGAATCCAATGAAGAAATCCAAGTAGTGCTGTATTTGCTAACACAGAGAGTCTATGGACACTATGCACAAAGACAGGAAGGAGATGTGGAGCAACTGGGGCAACTTTTCACAACTACAGGCTGGGTTCCAGGTCCCTCTGTAAGGTGAGGTGGGGGGTCTGAGCACTGTCCTTTAGGCTATCACCTTATCATTTGTAATACTGGTTGTATGAGTTTTTGTGAAGACAAATTTATCATGACATATCCTGAGAAGGGAAGGGATACTTCTAAACTGTAACTTTAAGAAACTATTCCAGAATGCAAAGGAGAAATGAATTCCTCTTTAGCTATGAGAGCCAAGTTATCTCTGGATTTTCTGTAAGGAAAAAAATGCAGTTAAATAACTTACAACAGTAAATACAAACCTTATATGGTGAAGGTTCAATTCTTTCCCCAAATAGTACCTGACCAAGATTTTCGGATGGACGTTTTCCTTCAGATGCTTGGCAAAAGTCAAACCTGAGGGAAAAGATATTTAAGTTTTTAAAGATAGAAGGAAACAATGGAATGAACTCCTAGGCAATCCTGAGGGTAGATTAGGTACTGATCATTACAGTACCTCCAACAGATGAATAAGAAATATATTCATACTCCAAGTTCCATGTACCAAATCAACCCAAAACAAAAAACCCCAAAACATCTGCAAATTATGCTTTAGAATGTTTTTATTTCTAAATAATACTTTTATTGACATGTAAATTATAGAATTTAAAAAATGATACATTATAATTTATTTTTATGCATTCCACTGATAAAAGAATTTACATCCTTATTCTTCAAGTGAATTTTACATAACTTATTTCCTTTTGTCATAAATTTCTAATCCTAATCTTTAGTTAATAAATATATGTCAATTTTCTGTGGGTTTCTGCCTCATCCAGATACACTGGACAACACATCCTAGTAGTGTGAGAAGCACGGCTAGACAAACCCTCTGAGAATGGAGTGGTGGAAAAGTCATTACCTGTCAACCTTAAGTTTCTCTCTGTGTTAATTCCTTTGTATTACTAACCAGATTTTAATAAGGTTTTATTAAAACATTACAGCCTATTTTTAATTTTGCTATTAAAAAATTAAGAGGCAGTTCTGTGTTCACTCTGCAATAATATGGGAGTACTTCAGACCAGCACTGTGATGGCTATAGATTAGTTAGATTCTTAAGAGGAAGATGATAAAAAACTGGGACTAGGAAGGCCCCAAATGAGAGATCCATTGAATCAGGCCTAGAAAATACTTACAGACTGTTACGGCTTGCTCTTGCTAAAACTCCCTCACCCTGGTCTAAAGCAACAAATGTATATTGTTTATCCTCAAGGTAACTCCCAAAACCTGTGTGAGCTCTCCCAAGGACAGAGCTAATGAGCTCATTGCCATCCCCCTGTGCATGCTATTTCTATTTCCTTGATTGTACCTAGAATATAGATAATAATGCTCTGTGTGACATAATAAATCTTTCTTTGATGTAAAACCCAAGGAAAACAATAAAAGCCTGTCTAGGCAAGGGTCGGGGCGCTCCCCTCTTGAGTGCCACCATAGGTGCTCTCCCCTTGAGAGAGTAGTAGTGCCTGTTCCTTTTTCCACACAGGGTTGTTGTTGCCTGTGCATTGATTCTCATCGTCAACCACAACAGGTGAACTCTGCTGGACAGTGTCTGCAACAGTTAACAAGTATTTTTTTTCTAAAGTCTTAGATGCCAGAGAAATTTAGAAGCCAACAAAAATTTAAGAACTATGTTTTACACACCATATCAAATGAATAAAGGATATTAATGCAACATTTTTATAATATAAAAAAATTAAAATAATCAACTGTTCAGAAATATAGAATCAGTGACATAAATGATATATGGACTACATAAAATCTCCACAAAGGAATTAAAAAAGGCTACTAAAAAGACTGAAGTAGTTGTGTATAACGTGAAAAGATACCCACAACAGATTCAGTGAGAAAATCAAGATGCAAATCATATATAATAGTATGAGTCTATTTCATTTAAAATGTATAAATAAATGGGGTTATGTACATTAGACTATGCAGATAAAAATGTAGGAGCAGATATTAAAGTAATTATTTCTGGGGACCAATTATGTGGCACAGAAGGATTTTGTTTCAAAATGTGTGAGCTTGAGCTTTTATTATTAAAAAATTTAAAGGAAACAATGTTTTTTTTTATCCAGATGAAAAAGGAAATCCATTGTTTTTAGTTCATGCTTCTATTGCATTGCAAAGAGACATAAAAAGATCACATTTTACATTATAATAATAAAGAATGCCCACTTAAAAATGTTTCCAGGACATGAACATTTTTTTTATTCTAAAATTTATATCAACATTGATGTTTATTTATAAAAAAAGATTTTATTATTTTGAGAGGGGAAGGGAGGGAGAAAGACGGAGAGAAACAATGATGTGAATGGATGTGCAAGAGAAATGTTGATCAGCTGCCTCTCACACACCCCAACCAGGGACCTGGTCTATAACCCAAGCATGTGCCCTGACAGGAGTCAACATTTCAACCTTTTGGATTGCAAGCTGATACTCAATCCACTTAGCCACACATTTTTAAAAGCATATGAATTTATTTGTAACTGTGGGGCATATAAAGTTCTAAATGTATGAAATTCTGATGAGTTGCATAGAATTTTATTAAAAAACCAAGCTGAAAAACTTACGCTGTATATTCATAAGGAAGAACTGATTCCACTGAGTCAAGCCTGTTCACGAAGAGCTCTATTTCAGCCTGAAAATAAGGAAACACAGAATCAGAATATAAACAACTGAAGATCAAACCTTAAGTCTGGGATTTAAAAAGAATTTGATATGTTTGAAATGTGAAATTTTATGATATCCAACCCACTCTAAACAATTCTCTTATAAAACCACTCACCAAGTGAGATTTATATGTATTCAAATTACACCAAAGCTGAATTATTAGAGGTGTAAATGTCTCCAATATTTTCTAAATGCTTTTTAAGTTCTAAGGTTTCTAAAAAATTAAATATTTTAACTAAATCATTTATCATATCAGTATATATATTTATAAAAACCTGGTTTTCAAACTCAGTATTTCATTCTGAAGCACAAAAACAATATTTACTTTTAAAACAATTTTTAAAACATTCTCAATGCAATGAAGACATGCTACCAAGTAGTAAAGCACTTTCTATATCAATTAAACTGGAAATACAATCCCATGCCCTTGCATACTCTTAAGCAGACAGGAAATGGACAGTGACAAAATGAGCTAATTTTGGAGGGCTCCTTTAATCAATTTGAGAATGCTGATACATGGTAATAACAGCAAAGAAATTTACCAGATCAAGTTCAGCAATGGGAAAGGGGGAAAAAAGCTGTATTAGCTTCCTAGGAAATATGGGCTAATTTAAAACTACACCTTCCCACTGAAGCTCCCAAAATTTCTTCAGGGTGTGTTTCAGGTTCTTTTTCTCCAAAGAACTCAAAACATACCCACTCTCTCATTTCAGGTTTACTCTTATTCATGACAGAATTCTTTACTTGAAGAGGACAGTGAATAATTTGTGTGCTAATCAAGAACAACTAAAAATGAGCTCTGTATTTGGGACAAGTTATTTTTATAGAGTTAGCCTGCTATGGCTGCTACTGGAGTCTGTGACTGATCATGAGGCTCCCTGGAATGGCACAGAGCCATATCTGTAATTTTGATCTCATTCACTAGTTTTATCAGCTGTCCTCTTATACTTGTTAACATTCCAAAGCAAGACAAGATGTCTGATGTATAACACAAAAAACAAATAATACATTGCCATGGGAAAAGCAGCAAAACATACAGGGAAAAGAAAAGAACAGACTCTCTGGGGCCAGTTTGCCTGGGTTCAAATTCCAGTTCTACCTCTTACTATTCATGTGACTTTGGTCAAGTTATTTAACAATTTCAGTTTCCTTTGGGTGCTTCAATTTTCTAATCATTAAAATGGGGATAACAGTATTTACTTCATTGGGGTATTGACGAGTTAACACTTACAAAGTACTTTATTAATAATAAATAAAACCAAATACATTTTATAATATTCACAATTGGGAATGCCCAAACTACACTGCTTATGGCCCATGGGTGTCCATCCTGTGCTCTACGGGCCACATGCAGCCCAGGATGTCTAGGAATGTGGCCTGACACAAATACTCATAAATTTACTTAAGACACTGCAAGACTTTTTTTTTTGTAATTACATGTCACAATGTATTTAATGTGTGGCCCAAGACGACTCTTCTTCTAGTGTGGCCCAAAGATACCAAAAGGTTGGATACCCCTGGTTATGCCATAAAATGCTTATTCAAGATTCATGTTGTAAGACAGAAAACAAGACATTAGTCTTTATATAGAGAACTGAAAACAGTATCATATATAACCTCTAAAATTCTACTCAAATGAAATGGCAACACTATCTCAAGCACATAAAGAAAATGTATCTCTTTGCATGAAATACTCAAGACTATATCATTGGTCATTTTAGCTAAAAAGATAAGCATTACAATATGCCTGAATAGAAATATATTCTGTGGCTCTGGGGAGAGAACTTTTAGTTCTTTTAGTACAGCCACCAGGATCCAGGATCCCTTTGCTGGGTCATTCCCCATACTGCCCGAGCCATCTTTCCCAGGCAGACCACTCCCCTCCAAGTGGAATACGCCTGAGGTGAAGGAGTAGCCCTGACTCAGGAATTACTCTGCCTTACCCTGTGGTATTTAAGCCTTGTTGCTAAGGAATACAGTGTGAAGACTTTCACTCTTTAAGCCTAACAGAAAGTCTAGACAGAGGTGGATCTCTGGGAACTCTGAGACTTGAGCTGACCCTATCCAGGCCCGGTGCTGGTTAGAGCCAACCTTGGTGGACAGCCTGGTTGTTCCTGCACACATCCAACCTCAGCAAAGGGAGCCACAAACTGTGGATCACTGATAGCTCCAAATAGGTTGCCCTGGGCCAGTCACAGGCAGGGTGTGACACAGGCCTAAACCACAGTCTTGAAGATCTACCTAAGACATAGGAACACAAAGCAGCAGCCAAATTGGAAAGACAAAGAAACAGGCCCTGAATGAAAGAATGAGAGAATCCTCTAGAAGGAGAACTTAGATGAAATGAAGAAAAGAAATCTATCAGAGAGTTTAGAGTAATAATTAAAATACCACTCAACAGCATGAAAAAAGACACAGAAACCATTACAGAGGACCAGTCATAAAGAACGCAATATATGAAATAAACAATATATTGGAATAAACAATTCACTGGAGGGAGTAAATAGTAGGTTAGATGGAGCAGAGGATTGAATCAGTGATTTGGAATACAACAAAGAAAAAAATATCCAAGCAGAACGGCAACAACAACAATGAAAAATTAAAAAGAATAAGGAGAGCTTAAGAAATCTTGGTGACAAAATGAAGCATAAGAACATCTGTATCATGGGAATACCAAAATGAGAATAGGAATTGAAAACCTTTTTGAAGAAATAATGACCAAAAACATTCTGGTGAAAGAAAGGCACATATCCAGGAAGCTCATAAGAGTTCCTAATGATTTGGATCCAGAGATGCTTGACTATGCTGAGACACATCATAATCAAAATGAAAGGCTTAAAGACAAAGAGAGAATCCTAAAACATTCAAGGAAAAAGGAGGTAGTTACATACAAGGGAACAACAATTAGTCTGTATTCTGAATTCTCAACAGAAACATTACAGGCCAGAAAGGAGTGGTGCAAAATACTCAAGGTGATGAAAAGCAAGCACCTACATCAAGTCTACTTTACCCAAGAAGGCTATCATTTAAAATTGAAAGAGAAATAAGGAGCATCCCAAACACACACACACACACACACACACACACACACACACACACACACACACGTACACACACACGTACACACACACGAAAGTAGTTTGTTAACACCAAATGTGTATTGCAACAAATGTTAAAGGGATTGGTTAAAGAAGAAAAAGAGAAAGAAAAAAAAAGACACAGGAAAATACTCTAAAAATAAAAGGCACTAAATATGTATCTAGCAGTAATCACCTTAAAAGTAAATGGCTTAAATGCTCCAACCAAAAGACAGAGGGGATGAATGGATAAGAAAACAATTCCCATGAACATGCTATGCTGCCTCCAAGAGTCCCACCTCAGATCACAAGATATACAACGGCTACAAGTAAAAAGACAGAAAAAGATATTTCATGCAAATGGAAAGGGAATAAAAAGATGGAGTAGCAATAGTTATATCCTACAAAATATACTTTAGTAAGACTGAAGACTATAGATTTTAGTAAGGCCAAGACTATAGTAAGAGACAAAGAAGGACACTACATAATGATGAAGGGAACAATCCAACAAGAGGATATAACCATAGTAAACATTTACACACCCAATAAAGGAGAAGCAATTTATTTAAAGCAAATCTTGATGCACATACAGGGAGAGACTGACAGAAACACACTGTCTGGGATTTTAACACCCATTAATTTCGATGGATCGATATTACAGACAGAAAATCAACAAGGAGATAGAGACCTTAAACACACTGGATTAAATGGATTTTACTGATGTCTTCAGAGCATCTCATCCCAAAAGAATATACATACTTTAAAAGTGCAAATGGAACATTTTTGGGGGATAGACCACATGTTACAACATAAAACAAGTCTCAATAAATCTAAGACGACTGAAATCATATCAAGCATCTTCTCTGACCACAATGCTATGAAACTAGAAATCATTACAATCATAAGAACACTGAATAACATACAAGGACATGGAAGTTAAACAACATGTTATTAAACAGTGACTACTAGGTCAACAACGAGATCAAGGAAGAAATCAAAGGATACCTTGAAACAAATGAAAATGAGAACACACAATTCACCATCTGTGGAACACAGGGAAAGCAATCCTAAGAGGAAAACTCAACATTACAGGCTTATCTCAAAAAACAAGAAAAAGCTCAAATGAACAATCTAAGTTTATACTTAAAGAAACTGGAAAAAGAATGACAGACCAAAGTGAGTAGAAGGAAGAAAATGATAAACATTAGAGCAGAAATTAATGAAATAGAGTCTAAAACAACAACAACAAAAGACCAATGAATCCAAGAGCTGGCTCTTTGAAAAGATAAACAAGATTGACAGACCTTTAATTGGATTCATCAAGAAAAACAGAGCGCACCCAAATAAACAAAATCAGAAATGAAAAAGGAGAAATAGCAACTGACACCAAAGTAATGCCAACAAATTGGACAACCTGGATGAAATGGATAAATCCCAAACATACAATCTTCCAAAACGAAATCAGGAAGAATCAGAGAATCTGAATAGACAGATCATACCAAGTGACATTGAAGTAGTAATCAAAAACTCCCAACAAACAAAAGCCCTGACTGGATGGCTTCACAGGGAAATTTTACCAAACGTTCTGGGAAGAACTAACAACTCAGCTTCACAAACTATCTCAAAAAATTTAAGAGGAGGGAAGGCTCCCAAGCTCATTTTATGAGGCCTGCATTATCCTAATTCCAAAACCAGATAAAGACATTACAAAAAAAGAAAATTACAGGCAATATCCCTGATGAACATAGATGCTAAAATCCTCAACAAAATATTAGCTAACCAAATATAGCAATGCATCAAAAAGATCATACACCGTGATCAAATGGAATTTATTCTGGGAACACAAGGTTGGTACAACATTCACAAATCAATAAATGTTTTTCACCACATAAACAAAATAAAGGATAAAAACCACCCGATCATATCAACAGATGTAGAAAAAGCATTTGATAAAATCCAGCACCCATTTATGATAGAAACTCTCAGCAAAGTGGGAATAGAGGGAACATACCTAAACATAACAAAGGCCACATATGACAAACACAATACCACCATCACATTCAATGGGCAAAACCTATGAGTGTTCCCCTTAAGATCAAGAACAAGACAGGGATGTCCACTTTTGCCTCTCTTATTCATCATAGTACTAAAAGTCCTAGCCACAGCAATCATACAAGAAGAAGAAATAAAAGGCGTCCAAACTGGAGAGGAAGAAGTAAAACTGACTTTATTTCAGATGACATGATACTGTACAAAGAGAACCCCAAAGATTCCACCAAGAAACTACTAGGACTGGTAAGTAAATTCAGCAAAGAAACAGGATACAAAATTAATATCCAGAAATCAGCTGCATTTTTATATGCCAACACAATTTCTCTAACAGAAAGGGAAATGAAGAGAACAATCCCATTTGCAATTGCTTCGAAAAGAATAAAATACCTAGGAATAAACCGAACCAAGCATGTAAAAGCCCTGTACTCGGAAAATTATAAGACACTGAAGAAGATCCTCTAAGTGGAGGCACATAACCATGTTAATGGGAGGAAGAATTTACATCATTGAAATGTCCATACTACCCAAAGCAATCTATAGATTCAACTCAATTCCTATCAAGATTCTGATGATGTATTTCACAGAACTACAACAAATATTTCAAAAATTTATATGGAACCACAAAAGGCCCTACGTAGCAACAGTGATACTGAGAAAGAAGATCAAAGTTGGAGGAATCACGCTATATAATATTAAACTATACTGTGAAGCCATAGTAATCAAAACAGCATAATACTGGCATAAAAACAGACACATAGATCAATGGAACAGAATAGACAGCCCAGAAATAAGCCCACACATTTATAATCAACTAATATTTGACAAAGGAAGCAAGCATATAAAATTCGCTAATGATAAGTTTATACAATAAATGTTGGGAATACTGGACAGACACGTGCAGAAAAATGAAACTTTCTTACACCACACACAAAAATAAACTCAAAATGGATCAAAGACTTAAATGTCAGATCTAAAACCATAAAAATCATAGAAGAATGTTGGGAACCGCCTTTCCTGGTTTCAGAAGCCATAATCCTCCATGGCTAAGGCTGAGTAAAAAGATCTTGGGACCATAAGTCACTAAGAAGAAAAAACTTATCCTCCAGGTAGGGGCGCAGCCTCTGCCTTTTTTACTTGACCTTGCTTGGCCACTGAAGGATGGCTGGTTAGCCAGTGACGGTTAAGATTCCTCAAGGAAGGAACCACCTAAGACAGGCACAGTCACGAAGGGGCCATCAGGGAAGGAGTTAGGGAATTATGAAGGAGAGACAAAAAACCCTCATCCCTTGGCTTTGATATAGCCTGAGCCTTCATCCTATCTGTAAGAAGTCTCCTAATCTCTTGGATGCCTTACTTCCCCCACCTAACTTAAGCCTAAAATGATGCTGAAGGCAGGTGCAGTCCTGTGCCAGAATGTGTGGTGCCTGGCTGGGAGTGTGGGGAGCATGGCAATCGGGCCTAAGAGAAAATGGATAAGATCCTGTGGAACCTGCTTTGCTAAGAATGCCTTCAATTTAAATGTCAAGGGTCCAAGCACAAAAAGAATTTGTTTCCCAAAGTTTTATGGCCCTTTGGCGTCACTCTATCTGACCCTGACTCAGAATAAGCCCTTATAGTTCTGTGAATGTTATCTATTCCTTGATCATTACTGCCTATGATTGATGAGCTTTACATATATGCCCTGTATTGCTATGCAAACTAAACCCAATAAAAGCCCATTGAGAAACAGGCTCAAGGCCTTTCTCCTCTGAGAGACTGGTCAGCCTTTCCTACCCAAGCAGATGATGCCTTGGTAGACTTATTCTTATCTGCATCGGCATGGGAGCTCTGTGGGCAGAGCCCCCCATAGAAGAAAACACAGGCAGCAAAATCTTGGACAATGCTGATAGCAGTATTTTATCAGAAATCTTTCCCCAAGCAAGGAAAACAAAAGAAAAAATAAACAAATGGGACTACCTCAAACCAAAAAGTTTTTTCACAATAAAGGAAAACATCAACAAAATAAAAAGACAACCCACAGAATGGTGAACATAGTCGCCAACACATCTTATAAGGAATTAATATCCAAAGTTTATAAAGAACTTACAAAACTCAACACCCCCCCCAAAACCCACCAAAAACACAACCCAATTAATAAATCAGGAATGGGCAAAGGACCTGTAAACACTTCTCCATAGAGGACATACAGATGGGCAACAGACATATGAAAAGATGTTCAACATAAGTAATCATCAGAGAAATAGGAATTAAAACTACAATGAGGTATCTTCTCATACATGTCAGAATGGCTGTCATCAATAAATCAACAAACAATTGCTGGCGAGGATGTGGAGAAAGGGGAACCCTTTTGTACTATTAGTGGAAATGCAGATTGGTGTAGCCACTGTGGGAAGCAGTATGGGGATACCTCAAAAAAATAAAAAATGGATCTGCCTTTTGACCCAGTGATCCTACCTCTGGGACTATAACTGAAGGAACTCAAAACACTAACTTGAAAGAACATAAGCACTGCTATATTCACTTACAATAGCCAAGATCTGGAAACAGCCCAGGTGTCCATCAGTAGATGAGTGGATAAAACAACTATAGGACATTTATACAATGTAATACTACTTGGCCGTAAACAAAGAAAAAAATTTTATCCTTTGAGTCAATATGTATGGACCTGGAGAACATTATGCTAAGTGAAATAAGCCAGTCAGAAGACTATACTTTCAGGGATCATTTCTCTAGTTTGTTACTAGAGAAGTTTCTCTGATCATGTGGAGCACCCGAAACCACGAGGAGGTGCAGTGTTCTCTCCTGAGCATGAAGCCAGCTTTTGGTGTTGTTTTTGCAACTGCCAATAGCCCCTGATGATCGTTCTTCTCTTCCTTTGGAGGAGTAAGAGGAAGAGAATACAGTCTGAGTGGTAAAAGAAAAAAAAAAAGAAATGAGCGAGTCAGAGAATGACATATACCATATGATTTCACTTGTACGTGGACTTGAGTCAACAAACTGAACTTACAAGCAAAATATATACAGACTCATAGACAGAGACCAGGATGACAGCTCAGGGGTGTGGGGGTAAGTTAAGGGGTGGAGGATTTGAGTTAAAAAAAAAAGGAATCATGAACATAGACAACAGTGTGGTGATTGCTTGGATGAGGGGTAGTATAAGGGGAATAAATAGTAATGAAAAAAATACCATAAAAAATGGGGAAAAAAAAGAGTATAATGATATATAACCAAAAAAGAGAGAGACACAATATAACCAATTCTGGAACATCATGAGTTTGAACTGTGCAGGTCTACTTACATGGTGATTTTTTTTCAAATAAATACTGTAAAATGTAAAATAATTAATGAAAATTTAACTTTAATTACATTTAAATAGTTATGGGAGGGTAATGGCTACTGGATTAGCATAGTAACAGAAAAGTATAAAATGCTGCTCAGTACCTCTTCATACATATAACACTTTGCTCATGTCACTACAATATTTTATTTACCTTGAAAAATAATTCTAATATTGTGGGTCTAACCTAGGGGTTTAGCCAACTTTTTATTAAAGGTCCAGGGAGTAAATATTTCAGGCTTTGCAGGACTCTAAGTCCCTGCTACTGTAGGGCAAAAAGCAGCCATTAGCAATATATAAGTGAATAAAGATGGTTGCATCCCAATAAAACTCTATTTATTGGTACTGAAGTTTGATGTTCTTAGTTTGAGGATCCTACAAAACAATAAGCAAGATGGTTTGACTCCTAGTCTATCCTTGACCTATGTTTGCCAAACATTTTTCTTATAATTTATTGATTTGAGCAGGGGGAGGGAGGGATAGAGGAAGGGGTAGAGAAACACCATTTTGTTGTTCCACTTTTTTTTCCAATTAATTTTATTTTTTAATTATATTTTATTTCTTGTGTTATTACAGTTTTCCCAATTTTCTCCCTTTCCCCCTCCACCCTGAACCCCCCAATTCCTTCAGTCAATCCTCACACAATTCTTAATGTCCATGAGTCACCCCTATAAGTTCCTTGGCTACTCCATTTCCATACTGTACTTTACATTCCCATGGCTATTCTGGAACTATCTATTTGTACTTCTATTTTTTTCTTTCAAATTTTGCTTTATTTTTAAGTATATTTTATTGATTATGCTATTTGAGTTGTCCCAATTTTTTTCTCCCCTTTATCCCCACTCTGCCCTGTACCCCACCACCCTCCAGCATTCCACTCCCCCCTGCCTTAGTTCATGTCCATAGATTGTACATATAAGTTTTTTGGCTTCTCCATTATTCTTAACTTCCCCCTATTTTTAAATATATTTTATTAATTATGCCATTACAGTTGTTCTATTTCCCCCACTTCATTCCCCTCCACCCTGCACACCCCTCCCCCATCATTCCCCCCTGTAGTTTATGACCACCTGTCTCAAGTTCTCTAGATTCTATATCACCCCTACTATTCTTGCCCTCCCCCATCTATTTTCTACCTACCATCTATGCTACTTATTCGCTATACCTTCTCCCCCCTTCTCCTTCTCCCACTCCCCTGTTGCTAACCCTCCATGTGACCTTCATTTCTATGGCTCTGCTCCTGATCTACCTGTCCTCTTAGTTTGCTTTTGTTTTAGGTGTGGTTCTTAATAACTGTAAGTTTGCTGTCCTTTCACTGTTCATCTTTTTTATCTTCTTTTTCTTAGGTAAGTCCCTTTAACATTTCATATAATAAGGGCTTGGTGATGATGGACTCCTTGAATTTGATCTTATCTGAGAAGCACTTTATCTGCCCTTCCATTCTAAATGAAAGCTTTGCTGGATAGAGCAATCTTGGATGTAGGTCTTTGGATTCCATGACTTGGAATACTTCTTTCCAGCCCCTTCTTGCCTGTAAGGTCTCTTTTGAGAAATCAGCTGACAGTCTGATGGGAACTCCTTTGTAGGTGACTGTCCCCTTATCTCTTGCTACTTCTAGGAGTCTCTCCTTCATTTGAATCTTGGCTAATGTAATGATGATGTGCCTTGGTGTGTTCCTTCTTGGGTCCACCTTCTTTGGGACTCTCTGAGCTTCCTGGATTTCCTGGAAGTCTATTTCCTTTGCCAGATTGGGGAAGTTCTTCTTTATTATTTGTTCAAATAAGGTTTCCACTCATGGTTGCTCCTCTTCCCCTTATGGTACCCCTATAATTCGGATGTTGGAGTGTTTAAAGATGTCCTGGAGGTTCCTTAGCCTTTTCCTCATTTTTTTGAATTGTTTCTTCATCCTTTTCTGTTTGGTCATTTTTTTCTTCCTTCTGGTCCACTCCCTTGATTTGAGTCCCAGTTTCCTTTCCATCACTATTGGTTTCCTGTACATTTCCACTCATTTCAATTAGTTTAGCCTTCATATGTTCCTCTAATTTGTAACTAAAATCAACCAGTTCTGTGAGCATCCTGATCACCAGTGTTTTGAATTGTGCATCTGACAGTTTGGCTATTTCTTGGTCGCTTAGATTTATTGGCTCAGGGCCTCTCAGTTGTTCTTGAGCCATGTTTTGATCTGTTTGTGCCTGTGACGAATGAGGAGTGGAGCCTTAGTTTTTCACCAGGGTGGGGCCACCCAGGTTGCTGGTTTGTGACTCTGTATGTGGGGGTGGGGTCAGAGAGGGACAATGGTGGTTCCCTCTGCTGCTTCCTGCCACTGGGGCCTATGCAGTCTCACTGCTCGCTCCTTCACCGGTTTATCTGCGTGTGAATGTGTGACCGTGATCAGCCCTCAGTGGGTCTGCCCGCTACTCCACACCTGGGATCCACCCAAGGCTGCTAGTGCACCTGGGTCGAGTGCCCAGGTCGGTCTGGTGGATCTTTCCTGCCTGGCCTTGCTCTGCTGCTGGCTCTTACCGGTTTGGCTGAAGGGTTCGTTTTTGTCAGATTTCTGTGTAGTTCAATTTTCTGTGGTTTGGCTGCGTTTTTGTTGCTAAAACTTTGTTGTTTTTAAACTTAGTTGTGGGAGAAGGTGCTGTGCTTCCACCTACGCCTCTATCTTGGCAGAAGTCCTGTTGTTTCACTTTTTAATGCATTCATTGGTTGCTTCTTATATGTGCCCTGACTAGGGATTTGACACAGACCTTGATGTACGGGGATAATGCTCTGACCAATTTAGCTAACCCACCAAGGCCCAACATATTTTTCCATGTTCTTTAAATCTAAATCTTAGAAAACCTAAAACATGGCACTGGGTTAAAGACCTGATGCTATGTGAAAAACTCTAGGACATTGTTCAAGGACATATAAATTTACAGTTAAAGCTTCTTCCATTTCTTCCCAAATGATGAGGCAATCATTTTTCTGTAGCCTATAATGTTCTCTCTGAAGTTTCATGGTATATCTTCTGGCTATAGGATTATAAGACCGAGAGAAAACCATATTCTCATTTTCTGACTTCTCCCTATCTCCTCTGAATCTTAATCTTTCAAAACAGAAAGGTCTTAATTTTTTTGAATCACCTATCTCCTTGATCATGCCAACTGCTTTTCTCAGGACCTTGCCCTACCCTCATACCCTTCTTAAAAGGTATGTGATTGAGAATTACAAGAAAAATTAAAGGTTTAGACACTATAGTTTTACAAATATATATAGAATGACATTGTTACTTTTCATTAGCCTTTCTGGCCATAAGCATAATTCTTCAATGACACTCTTCATCTCTTACCTATGTTCTATTGGGTTGGTCAAAAAGTTTGTTCAGGTTTTTTTGTAAACTGGCTCTAGTAGCACTTAGTTGTTTTTAACTTCACTGGAAATAATTTTGCCAGACTGTATTCTGACAACTGTCATATCAGTGTGCATTAAAAAACTTACCAAAATTGGTGAATTTTTATGTAGCCATTTTAATATTGAAGATGGAAGATAATAAGCAGTATTTTTGGCACATTATGCTGTATTATTTCAAGAAAGGTAAAAATGCAACTGAAATGGAATAAAAAAATTTGTGTAGTGTATGGAGAAGATGCTGTGACTGACTGAACATGTCAATGGTGGTTATCAAAGTTTAGTGCTGGAGATTTCTCACTGGATGATGCTCCACAGTCAGGTAGACCAGTTGTGGTTGACAATCATATGGAGACATTAACTGAGAACAGTCAATGTTATACCATGCAGGAGATAGCTGACACACTCAAAATGTCCAAATCAAGCACTGAAAATCATTTGTACTAGCTCAGTTGTGTTAATCGCTTTGATATCTAGGTTCCACATAAGGTAAGTGAAAAAAACCTTCTTGATCATATTTTTCCATGTGAGTCTCTACTTACACGTAACAAAAATGTTCTGTTTTTAAAACAAATTGGGACAGGCAATGACATGTGGATAATTTACAATAATGTGGAACACAAGAGATTGTGGGCAGGCAAAATGAACCACCACCAACCACACCAAAGGCCAGTCCTCATTCAAAGAACGTGCTGCTGTGTATAACATAGGAATGGAAGGGAGTCCTCTATTATGAGCTTCTTTAGGAAAACCAAACAATTAATTCCAACAAATACTACTCCCAGTTAAACGAACTGAAAGCAGCATGCGATGAAAAGAATCTGGAATTAGTCAACAAAAAAAGACTACATGTTTCTTTGATGACCAGACATAAACTGTTACAGCTTGGCTGGAAGTTCTGAGTCAATGCCATATGCACTAGACATTTACATTTATTTCAGTCTTTACAAAATTCTCTAAATAAAAACAGTATTAATTCCCTGGAAAAAACACCACAAAAAACACCTGGAATAGTTCATTGCTCAAAAAGATAAAAAGTTTTGGGAAGATGGAATTATGAAGTTGCCTGAAAGATAGCAGAAGATAGTGGAACAAATGGTGAATACGTTGTTCAAAAGTTCTTGGTAAAAACAAAAAAAAAGTCTTGAGGCTTCAAGTCAAGTTGAAGGCAGATAGACATGCT